GAAAAAATAATATGTCCTTGGAAGGATAGAGTTGATGGGAAATAGACATTTCAGGGTGTTTGAGGAGATTTGATGTCTAGAATAGGTTCTATATTTACCCTATGACCACAGCCAAACTGGCCAGTAATGTCTGGACATACGTCTAATAGAACACTTCCCAGTAAGTTAGGTTACAGGTTGTAGGTGCACCTTGCCTGCTGGGAACCCTTCCATCAGTCTTGCTGGTAGTGAGGAACAGATAATTTTTCCCAGCAATCTCCCAAAATGCCTAAAATGGCTTCGGAAAGCTTTATTCATGATTTGTTGTTGTTTTTAGGTCTTTTTCTAAAAATTTCCCGTTGGGTGCCCCTGATCTTGTGATCGCCTGTTCGAGGCCCTGTTAGGGGTTTCAGGGATAAGGGATAACTGGATAAATAATTTAAGGGATAAGGGATAATTGACAAAATAATTTTAGGTATAAGGGACAGGATAATGAAATAACGTCCTGGTTCCACATTATTTTAATTATGATCGATTGACACTTTTTTCACTTTTCCGGTTTTTCTCCACCCCTGACCACATGTGTTCAGTTATCGCTCGTTTACTTTAACTGAACAGTTAACCGAGAAGACCTGGGGACGAGGTTGAGTTGTAGTGAGTACAAAATGGCGGTACATTTCACTCGTTTCACGCGGAAGAAATAGTTGAAATAGGCGATATAGGCGAGCTGTTGGCTAAAGCTATAACAAGAACCGCAAGAATACAACTCGACAGACGACATACTGAATATTTGCAGTACTGAACACCCCTTTATCTCCTAAACTTGCCGATGAAAAGGCAATAGGCCACTTGCATTAAGAGGTCACGTGACCAAAGCTTCCGACACTAAGTTGGAATCTTGCTACGCTAAAAATTTACAGAGCTCACAAAAATTATGTTACAGCCCAAATTTGAGAGGAAATCAATTTAAGGAAAATATTTTATGGCTCTTTGATTTTTTCAACAAAGTAGTATGATTTGTATTGGCCGCCATGTTGGATTGGATAGCATACGCTTATGGCGTCAGATCGAGGACAAAATCGATACTCGGATTTCGTGGCCTTGTAAACACTTCTTCGCTTCGAAAATTGTTCTTCGAGTCATTGTCTGTTTTCTTCGTGGCGTCGGTTCCATGTCTTCCAGTCGTCGCTTCCCTCGATTCATCGTACTCTTTTATTCGGGGCACCGCTGGCTTTTCTTCGTGGCGTAGCTATGGGCTTATGTGGTCGTTGCGTCATTCTTATGTCTTCGTGTCGTCGGGTCTTCCTTTCGTCGACTGCGCTACATACTTAAGCAGGTACTTGATTTATGGGGAAATATATTGTACCGACTTTACTTGCATAAGTTATACCTTTCCTCTTTTGCTTGTTACCTTGTTACTCTGTTACCCTGTTACCTTGGAACCTTGTTACCCTGTTACCTTGTTACTCCATTACCTTGTTACTATGCTACCTTGTTATCCTGTTACCTTGTTACGCTGTTACCTAGTTACCTTGTTACCTTGTTACCCTGTTACCTTGTTACTGTGTTGTACCTTGTTACCTTGTTGTTCTGACTTTTACCTTGGTAACTTGTTACTCTGTTACCTTGTTCCCTGGTTACTCTGTTACCCTGTTGCTCTGTTACCATGTCACTCTGTTATCTTGTTACTCTATTACCTTGTTTCCTTGTTACTCTGTTACCTTGTTACCCTGTTACTTTGTTGCTCTGTTACCTTGTTACTCTGTTACCTAGTTACCTTGTTGCTCTGTGCCTTTTTTACTCTGTCCCCTTGTTACCCTGTTGCCTAATTATTAGCAATCAGCTTTCGTCGGTTTCGTCGGTTTCGTCGAGGAAATTGAGTATAACTAGTATACTCATACAAGCCGGTTCCCTCCATCTACCACTTTACTGTTAAAAATCTTTTTGTGACTTCAAGAGGTTACTTGTACAAGGCCTGACGAAGACCTGACTTCAGACTCAACTGCCAACTCCCGGCTTTACCTGATCTCGACGACACAACAAGTACACAAAATGACATGACAAATCGGCAAAACGAATAAACAAGTAGACAAAACGACATGGAAAATACGCATCGAGTTAGCTTTGACCGCAACTACCGCTCCACAGCACCAGGGTTACCCTCCCTCCTTGTAAACAGAGCCAAGAGTAAAAACGGTGCTTTCATATTAGTATAACTGCAGTTTCTAAAATATCAAATTTTCAACACCATTTCGGCTGGGAATGAATTATAGTTCAATGAGTTATCTTTATATCAAGGCCTAACTCGACCTGATTGTAAAAATAAATGTATACATTATAAATGAAAATAATTCTTTAAAATTGCAACATCATTTAACTAGAGTATATTTGCCCCATCCCTAGGAAACAAGACAACAGAGTAAAAAAGTACCAAAGTAACAGAATAATAAGCTAACAGAGTAACAAAAAAAGAAGGGTAACAGGGTAACAAGGTAACAGGGTAACAAGGTAGCAGGGTAACAAGGTAACAGGGGAACAAGGTAACAAGAAAACAGGGTAACAGCGTAACAAGGTAGCAGGGTAACAGGGTAACGAGGTAACAATGTAACAGGGTAACGAGGTAGCAGGGTAACAGGGTAAAAAGGTAACAAGGTAATAGGGTAACAAGGTAACAAAGCAACAAGGTAACAGGGTAACAGGGTGACAGGGTAACAAGGTAAAAGGGTAACAGGGTAACAGGGTAACACGGTAACAAGGTAACAGGGTAACAAGGTAACAGGGTAACAAGGTAGCAGCGTAACAGGGTAGCAGCGTAACAGGGTAACAGGGTAACAAGGTAACAGGGTAACAAGGTAGCAGGGTAACAAGGTAACAGGGTACAGGGTAAGAAGGTAACAGGGTAACAGGGTAACAAGGTAAAAAGGTAAAAAGGTAACAAGGTAACAGGGCAACAGGGTAACAAGGTAGCAGGGTAACAGGGTCACAGGGTAACAAGGTAACAAGGTAACAGGGTAACAAGGTAGCAGGGTAACAGGGTAACAAGGTAACAGGGTAACAAGGTAACAAGCTAACAAGGTAGCAGGGTAACAGGGTAACAGGGTAACAAGGTAACAGGGTAACAAGGTAACAAGGTAACAGGGTAACAAGGTAGCAGGGTAACAAGGTAACAAGGTAACAGGGTAACAAGGTAACAGGGTAACAAGGTAGCAGGATAACTGGGTAACAGGGTAACAAGGTAGCAGGGTAACAAGGTAACAAGGTAACAGGGTAACAAGGTAGCAGGGTAACAGGGTAACAAGGTAACAGGGTAACAAGGTAACAGGGTAACAAGGTAGCAGGATAACAGGGTAACAAGGTAACAGGGTAACAAGGTAACAGGGTAACAAGGTAACGGGGTAACAGGGTAACAAGGTAACAGGTTAACAAGGTAACAGGGTAACAAGGTAACAGGGTACACCGACCACATATGGAGAGCATGGTGTAATAGCTCATATACCATAACGGCTAAGCCAATCAAAATGCTAGAATTGCATTATCCAATGATTCAGTTTTTAATAAATAGATTATACTATAGCTTCTTTTATAGCTTTTAAATTTCTTATCTTTTATTTATCATATTATTCATTATTTATTTTATTTTTATGTTGTGTCCCCAATTGGCGTCAGCTAAATACATCGACACATGAATAAAGTTCATCATCATCGTCATCATCACACACGCGACAGGGACGCAAATAGTTCGCGCCAAAATGACGTCCCTTGATGTGATTTTTTTTGCAGAGGAAACAAGTCGAGCTCTCGCTCTCTCGCTCGCTTTTGCCGCAGAAAACATAAAAAATCTACTGCTCGCGCTTCTCGCTTGTAAAAAAAATTGAGCGTTCGACTTGCGGGCAAGTCTAAGCGTTGGCGCTTATTCGTAGCCTGCGTAGCTGGCGGTATTGTGTGGGTGCGAGATTAAAGTTTTGGCGGCGGAGCCGTGTTCCAAAAAAAGGGAGTAGGGACGAGGCGGTTGAAATACGGCTTCGCTGCTCGTGACGGCTCCGCCGTCAAACCTCACTCGACTATATTACAACGGCTCCGCCGCCAAATCTCACCCGACTACTACACAATACCGCCAGCTACGCAGGCTACTTTAATATTCGAGGAAAACAGCGCGGGAAATTTGATCGCTCTCGTGATCTCTCGTGATATGGTCAGCGGATCATGACAAAAGCAAAACAACATGGCGGACAACATGGCGGACAACATGGCGGACATTATGATCTGAACCTTATCTCAAACTGTTCAATATTTTGACCTTTTACTTCATTGTTCTTTCCTTCCATGTTACCCTAACATTTTATTGTTCTTTCTACTTCATGGAAGCCTAAGTCATTAGTTCTTACATGAGTAATTTTCTGGGATACGTCGTTTTCGAACGAAGGCCGTTCGGTCCGAGCTCGATCATGGATCCTGAAAAGTTTCCCTCTGTTAAGACAACCTCAACAGTTTTTTGCATTTCTTTTACAGGGCTGCAAGAATCAAGTTTCAAGTCAAAAATGCCACATCACATGAGGACTGCTTACTATTTTGAGACGTAGCAACATGGATGTGTAAGCTCAGGAACTCGATTTAATCTATGTTGTGTATTTGGAAATCTTACATCATGGGCTATATACGAACGAACGCAACCATCCGAGAGATTGATCTACTGAAGGACCTCTTCGAGACAAGATGACAAATTATGTATCTTTTTCAGGGTCCTTTCGTGCCCCTTCTTCGTCATACATGGTACCTTCGACTTGTGTTGGTTGTTATTTCTCACTTAGACTCTGCCCTTTCGGTGAAAGACACGCACATTTGTAAATGCGAGGATTTTCCCGTAGAAGACCGTCCGTTTGTAGCGATATGGAACGCCCCGACTGGTGGTTGTTCTGTCAACTACAGCATCAACATAAACTTGAGAGATTTTGATATTTTAGAGAATCCGATGCAAAGCTGGGATGGAAAGTTTGTTACGGTATTTTACAATGCCCAGCTCGGCCTATATCCTTACTATACCAATCCTGAGGGAACAAGAAGTTATAATGGAGGAATGCCTCAGGTTTGTAAGGTTAATGTTATCAGTCAGAGCAATGTTTAATGTTTACATCGTTTTGCTGCAGGTCATTAAATGATCTTCCCTTGTAGGCAAAACATGAACACGATAAAAAATAGACTTTTTCCCTACTTATAGTTTTGCATTACAATACTAATTTTTGTCTGAAGATTAACATAAACTGTGGACAACAGGTAGTCATTATATTAGTAAGAGGAAAGTGTCAACTTTTAAACACTGCAGACTAGGTTATATTACTCAGACTTGCAATTGCCACTAAATACGTATATATACCTGTATTAAGATTTCATGTTAGATGTAAACACTTTAAAATGGTAAAAACAAATATTCAAGCTAAATTACTAGTAGTAAATTAAAAGAGTGATAACTAGTTAAAAGCTAATCAAGTTTAATATGTCTATAGCATAGTCAAGGATGTTATGGCAATAATGGCAGAGACAAGTAGAAACAGTTATTGATCAAATGACAGGTTTTATGCCAACAACCTCTAAACACCTTAAACCATTAAATTTTTTTGATTTTGTTAGTGAAGAAATACTGGGGCTTGATTTTGTCATATTGATACAGAACAAATAAGGTTACTTTTGCAGGGTTAAATTTAATTAACAGGGTTTTTCGTTAAGAATTCTAGTAGCAGGAGAAAAGTGTAGTGTTAGAGGAGAATATTTTGAAAGAGGCCCACATCTGAGTAAAAAAATTGTCATAAGATATTGAACATCAGCCAGAGATGTTGCTCTGAACAACATGGGTAAGATAACACAGGGTTAGTAAGAAATTTGAATTCAGATATAAAAGCTTAAAAAGCAAATTCAGTTTAATTCCTTTGGTCTGCAATTTGGTGATTAGATGCCTTAAAAAATAAGGAAAATTATGCGAGGAAATGCTATTAAACAAAAGAAAAAGAAACCCAGGGCTCATTTCATATACCCATATTTTTGTGGAGTACCCATGCAGGGTTTGTACTGGCTCTCATCCTGGGAAGTATGTACCCTCATCCCCTCTTAGTCCAGATTTATTATTAGACTTACTCTCCAAATTCAAACCCATGTCTTGTTAAAAATGGCAAAAATACTATAGCCTTTAAGAAAAACAGAAAAGTATAGAGCTGTGTAAATATGATAATTACAGGAAAGAGCTCATGTTTGGATCCCAGGCAGTATCCATCACAAAGCTTGAACCATCAGAATGAGTTGTGTGTGCAAGAATTTTTGTGCTTTGAACAAGGCATCTCAGGAAGGAGGGATACCAAATAACATCTTTGCTTCTAATTTATGTCTCACTCCCTAATATTGTTTTTATTGATTTAGCTTATAAATTTGCAAGCTCACCTCAGCAAAATGAAAAAAGACATTATCAAAAAAATTCCTGACCCAAACTACAAAGGACTGGCCATTATTGACTGGGAAGGATGGCGGCCCACTTGGCAAAGAAACTTTGACTCCAAACGGATTTATCAGAGTAGATCAATTGATATTGTTCAAGACAAGAACCCTGAATGGTCAATGGAAGAAGTAATTTGGGAAGCAAAAAAAGAGTTTGAAAGATCTGCCCGTCTGTTCATGGAGACCTCTATAAAGTTAGCGACAACTCTAAGACCGAAAGGTCTCTGGGGATTTTATGGATTCCCAGACTGTTTTGGTACCAGTGAGACAAATTATCACTGCTCTGATGAGGTAATATACCGAGTAGATAATTATACAGTGTTTAAAAATTAACACAATGTATTTTATAAGTGGAATGTGATCATCCAGGTAAGTTTAGTCCTGAATAGGACTGTTGTCAGTAGTAACTGACATTTTCACAACCTCTGCAGTGGTCATCTTTAGAGTCAAAAGTCCTATTACTGTGTGTGCAATGATCTGTACTATCCCATTACTGGTAGTTTAAGTAAGGCCAACAGCCATTGGGTCAGAGACTTTTGTTAATAGTTATGATCAAACCGATAACAGGATCTTTATTTTTGTTTTGTGTTATTTTAGAACAAGGAAATAAACGACAACTTGAAATGGTTGTTTGCAAGCAGTACCGCACTTTATCCTTCTCTCTATATCTATGACAAACAACCTTGGAATAAAGCATTTGCATATGGAAGGTTGGAAGAGTCATTTAGACTAGCAAGTTTGGTTTCAAAAGAGACTGAAAAAAGTTTGCCTGTGTTTCCTTATTTTCGTCATTTGTATGAAGGAAAGCCACTGGAGTTTGACTATCTCACTGATGTAAGAAACATTTCTCTTGTATTTTATTTTAAGTTATTATAGAGACATAACATGTAATAATAATAATAACAATAATAATAATAATAATAATGATAAAACACACATATTTCACTGATAACAATGGTAACTATTAAAATCCTATTCACAATTCAGAAATTCACTTTAAAAAAAACTTTTCCATCAAAACACTATTTTCAATTCCTTTCGTTTAAAAAAAACACTTAGTTTTGATTAGAAAAAATTCATTTAATCAAAAAATATATATTACAATAATAATAAAAAAAGACTAAAGTTATGATAATGATAATAATAATTAATAACAATAATAATAATAAAATGTTCTCTTCAGGTCTTTACACATGTTGTGTTTATGTTACAGGTCAAAATTATAATATTATTCAGGTTTAAATATTTTAACAGGTCTAGGTTTCAAGGTTGTCAATTTCCTTCATTTCCTAGCCCTAATTCGTGAATAATCAGGCCTTGGAGACAAAAGAATTTGACAATTAACCTAGGTTAACAAATTTTAACCTGAATTTTTTCATTTTTTATCATATTTGGCAGGGGCACTGCAACAGCATGAGGCCAAGTACTTTTTATTTAACTCGTAACAGTCCCCTTCCTTACACCACCAGGGACTATGTCCCCTACTCTTTTCAGCAGTGTGGGTTCTTTTACATCCCCTTCACGGCTGCTTGCTGTCAGTTCCTTTTGAACTGCCACCAATGCTTGTCTAGTAATTAGTAGACTTTGACCACAAAATGGCTTGACTAGCTTCAAACAAGGTGGGTTTTTTTAGCAAAATTCCTAGGGGAAGGGGGGTGGAGAGGCAGGTGGGTTAACCCTTGAAGTCCCAATACTGAATAGTGACCAACATCAATTTTCTCCTAACAACATCCATACATAGTCAAGAGATAAGGTTATGAGAATTAAAAATAATTAATACTAATAATAATTAATTATTAATAACTTGATCACTTACAGTCACGGCAGGTCAAGCATACCCCCAAGATTCTATTAATGAATTGATTATTTGAAAAATGAAGCCATTAGTCGTTCCCGTAGCTGGAGTCAAATTCACATTGGCATTCCTGCATGTGTAATGAGCAGTGAATATTTTACGAGAACTTCTCTGTATTTGGTCAGATTGAAAATCTTTGAATGGATAGAATTACTTCGAAGACTGCCATTCAGGGTAACTGAGGTGGTAGAAATTCCATATTAACTGCCTTGCATGTGAATTTATGGCTCATTAAGCATGCAAGAATGTAGAGACGAATCTGTAATCTACAACTACCAACGGTTCAATTTTCGAATAATAAATTTATTAATGAAATCTTGGGGGGTACACTTGAACTGGCTTGACTGTAATATGGGAAACTTCTGTGATCTTCTATCAAATAGATTCTAACTCTCAACTAACTTTTTTGGGAAAATGTATGGAGGTCAGTCTGGAGAATTATTATGTGGATATGATTGGGGCTGAAAGGGTTTTGAAAAAAACAAGTTTAACCAAAGGTGAATAATTTTATCATCTGACCACTCTCATCAGGTTGATCTTCAAAACACTATTGGCCAGGCTGCAGATATGGGTGCAGCGGGTGTGGTCATGTGGGGGAACAGGCGAGATGAGAACACCTCCCCTAAAGTCTGCCAAGATATTAATACTTACATAGAGACAAAGCTGGGGCCTTACTTTGAGTCTGTGAGACACAGCCAAGAAGAATGCAGTGAAAACAAGTGTAATGGACATGGACGATGTGTAGATAAAAAATTAATTCCCTCACAATGGATAAGTGAGGAGCCATATTTGTACACTCAGACGTGTCAGGGGTTACCAAGAAAATTTGACCCCCGCATTAGAAAGGACAGCACTCTTCTTCAACCGGAAGGTACAAAGCATTTGATTTTTTTTATAAGTTATAAATTGAAGGCTGTATTGATTAAGACCTCAAGTGACTCTTAAATAGGCAATATTTTTAAGGAGAAATTTAGCAGTTCATCAGGTCTTCAACCATGCTTTTCTTTAATTTGTTGTTCATTCAAGTCACTGACCACTGTAATATCATTACCATGTCAGGCGCAGATCCACATTGGTTTCCACCGTTTTACAGAAATCAGTCAGATTTTACATAATGGATATATTTTAAATAAAGATGAAAAACTTTCCAAGTTGCAAGGCTTCATCCTAGGAGCATGGAACTGGCCAATATCCTGTTTGAATGACTTAGAAACCCAGGAAAGGGGATTTTAGGGAGTTAAAATCTAAAAAATTTCACGGGAACCATGCCCCCCGGATCCCCCCTAGAAGCTTGCGCTTTTGGCACTCGTTTAAGAAATCGGTGGGCATATATCCTGGATCCATGCCTGCATGTCCCAGTTGCTCTTTTAGCAATTCAAACTAGCTACCTCTTTCTCTTGACTGAGGGCATATTTCACTGAACCCTGCATTGCATAACAGGTGCCTGTTACACAGGCTATTTTCACTGTGAATAAGTAGAGAATTTTTTTACCATTAAAAGTCAAATTATTTATAACCTAGATTCATATTCACTACTGAAGAAAGAAACAATTTTTGCACCAAAAAAAAAAACATTGTTGGGCAGCATTTCCTTGCAGGCTGAGTTATCTCACAGTTGTTGTTTTTGCAGTCACCATTAGAATATTATAATGCAGTACTTTTATTTTGTACAGTGGAATCTTGATAAAATGAAAGGCCAAGGTACTGGCAAAATTTCTTCGCTATAACGAGGTTTCATTATGTCGAGGTTATTTTCATATATGTTACTATTACTTGGGGAAAGAGTATCGGTCATTATACTGCTGACTTTGTTATATAGAGATTTCTTATATTATGAGTTTTTTTAAAAAAAATCATTTTTGTATTTGCTTTTTCAATTATGTAGTTCCTTTTAGATGCAGAATTCGAATGTAACACTAAACATTTTAACCATATCAGATGCATTAATATCAACGGTTTTGTTCACGCTAGTCTTTTAAATCTTTTAATATAATGTGCTCTGATTTGTTAGACCCACATGGAACAAACCAACCACAAAGACATGGCCTGAACTCTGTACAGAGACAGTACTTAATAAAAGAGCTGAGATTGCTCAATGCTTCAGGATCTACTAAAAAGATTTTTCTTAATTCTCATCACAAAAACTCCTCAAAAGACTTTGTAATGTTTGTACAGTCCACATCAGATTCAGTTACAGAGGTGAACAAAGCACCCAAGGAACAAAAAGGATTCACTGCAGGCGGAGTTGTGGCTACAAGTGGTCTACATTTTCACGATCAGTTGACAGAAAGGTACAAATGTAGGAAGTGATCTCTTTTACATCCAATTCAGGAGCGCATCCAGGAATTTTTTATGGTGTGGTGAAGGGGGCCGGGGGGGTGGGTGGTCCAAACTTCGGTTCAGAAAGGACTGTTGAATTTTTTTGTGGAAAATTTCTTCTCACAGAGACGACCACGTGTTTCTCAATCTGTGAACGCCGGTCCCCGTTGGCGCGGGAGATACTGCTTTGCGAGCAGGGCAAGCAGATCATAGAAGGGTACCCAAAAACAATTACATTTTTGAATATCACTGGAATTTAGTTTGGTGACAAAATGCAACGTGCGTTTCATTAAAAAAAGCAGCAGTTATAAAGTAATATATGATCCTTTCGATGTAAGAATTTCAGTCTCAAACAAGCGTCAGGTCTGATAGGGGGATCATGACCCCCGGACCCTCCCTCTGCATCCGCTACTGCAACTAGATATCGCCTTTGCGATGGCCTGCCGTGATAGTAGGTCGGCATAGGCTCTTTGTCGTTGGAGCTCAAGTGACCTTTCTTGCGCTTAAATTATGGGTTGCAACTCTAAAACCGCCATAAAATTCAGTGGCTATGGCTCAGGTGATCGGACTCTTCTGGTGGTTTAGACGACATAGCATTCATTATTTCTGTTTAAGAAGGAAAGCTCATATACTAGGAAATTAAGAAGAACTGAGCAAAGCCAATTTGCTAGGAAAAGAAGTGAGAAAATAGAACTGCGATTATTTTTTGCTTGTATAGTGATTAGGGTTAAGTATTGATTTTGAATGGTTTTACTCACTGTTTTGGAAACTTCATATAAATACCGTAAATCCTCTTTTAAACCCTCCGGGACGGGGGGTGCATATTTATTTCAAACACATGGGAGGGGCTTAATAGAGACAGGGGGCTTATTTAATTTAGCAAACACGATGGTATCAGTTCTCCATAAGGAACTAGATTACAAAATGGATAACCTTAGTAAGAGTTGGAGGTCATGTACCCAAGGATCAAAAACAAATCCGAACTTCCAACTGATGAAAAAAACATCGCAGATCAGTCCACGCGAAATTTTACAGTCGTGATTGATTAATACAGTCTATCATTTTATTAGTGAAGAATAATAATGGGGAGGGTAGGGGGGGGGCTCAATAGAGGATTTAAGGTACCTAAAAAATAATAAACACTTAATGACTGGTCCCTTGGGAAACAGTTAATTTTGTTTCCCGAGAATCTCAATGTTTCATTGAGATTCTTGGGAAACAAAACCTCGAAGTAACCAATGAGAGCGCACCCTGTTGGGAAGTAATTTCCAGCTATATAACAACGGCTGTTAATATCGATAGCTCCTCATAGTTTAGTGTAGAGATAAATGTACTAAACTGGGTTAAAGGATCCCCGGCTTCTTTTAATTTAGCTTTTTTTCTGTTTTCTTAATTTTAAGTTTCCTGAGTGTGTAGGGTTCATGAGGTGTCCGACCTCCTTGCGGACATGTCGCTTCGAAGCCTTCTCGCTACATAGTCATTTTGCAACAACGTTGACTAAACAAACTATTGTAGTTTAGCAGTTGTATACCTACGCAGTCTACAGAAACAGACCGTACGCGATCTCTAATCTCCAAAAAAAGAAGAACAAAGACTGTTTAATACAAAAATTTAATCAGCGCGAGTCGACTTTGATCTGGAGCGAAATGACTTATAGCGAAAGGACTTTTTGTGAAACGACCGGTAACCGTTTGTGACATACAACAGGTTTAAACTGAATCAAATCGCTTTTAACTCTATTCAAATTCTGAAGCCCAGTTTTAATGTTTTGTTTTCAGCCCAAGTTTTACCCAGACAGTAGGCAAAGGAGCTGTTAACAAGCTGACACTTTGTAATGGATCCACATCCGGGTCCTCAGACTGCGAGATCATGAAAGAAAGTCCCTCCACTTTCTCGCGTGGTTTCCACTTTCCACACACGTACGTGGTGTTCCTGTGCGTGTCGCTTGGCTCTGCACTTTTCGTATCGTCCGCTTTTATTATGAGTTACTATTACTGCAATGTTCGAAAAAGAGTAACAATAGACGAGGAAGACGACGATATTCCTCGCGGAGACTGATCACGCGCTGCGAAGCGAGGGAAAAGCGCACTGATCGACGAGAGAACATTTCTCTGTCAGTTCAGCCTCTCAAGAAGGGAGCGTTAGGGTCCACAGTTTTTGCGGTTTTAGCCATTTTTAGGATAGGTATTTCGGATTTATAAGCGGTACTCGTATTTTCCTTTTGGGTTTCGGTTTTTATCGAACAAGAAAATTTGCCCATTTGGCTTTCCTTTCTTCATGTCTGCACAGGCTTCTCAGCCCAGTCCTGCCGTATGTGAAGTGAATTTAAAACGAACCGTGGTCTAATGACAAGGGGTAGATGTAGAGTATACGTTTACCGTAAAAGCTCAAAATATATACTGTTCACACTGTTGTGAAAATTGTGAAACAGCCCCCATACCTAAAGCCAGGAGGGAACAAGGACAAAAGTATGCACCCTGTTTCACACAATATTTCACAAAAATGTAGAGATTTTACTGCCCAGAACCATTTGTGAAAATGTACAGGACGACCCGTAAGTTCTTTTAAAACTAGCGTGGGTTTTGTTTATTTGGCATGATACTAAAAGCGGGAACGGGGAACGGGAAAATGAAAAATGGGAACAAAACAGAATTGGAAATGATATTACTGATAGGTCTAGGGTTCAAGTTAGGTTTTGTTCCCATTTTTCATTTCTCCCGATTCCGTTCCACGTGCTTGTTCCCCGCTTTCCGTTTCCCGTTTTAATTACATCCGTAAATTTGTTCTTTATAATCGTTGACATCTGCGGTTTTTCTGATCAGTCTTTATGGCGGTTTCGCCAGTGTGGGTTGATATATTTCTTGGCGGTTTCGTTCAGTATCCCCCTTTGCGAGTTACCCAACTGGAGTTACTGCAACTCGTAATATGTCTTGAACAGAGCTTTACCAGTAGAACCTTTGATATATCAACAGAGCTTGAAAGAACGTATTCTCATGCTAGAAAGACATCGACCACAATTCAACGTTCTCTCCATGTTTTGTTTATTTTCAAAGTTGTTTTGTATAATTTTAGACTCAGAAAGGCGTAGAACTATTGTTCACCGAATTCAAGTCTTTAACCAAGCTGTTTAATTGTCAGTGTCTGCTGGTATAAGGAATTTGGTGCTATTTTTGGTTTTGGACTGAACAAGCTAATACTCTAGTAGATGTTAATTGAGTGCGACCAGAGGAGGCCGCGATGCTATTCTCCAGGTTCCTATTACGCATGCGTGGCGTGTATGTAACCAAATTCGTTATTTGGACTTCCAAACGAGTAAGTAAACAAGTGAGAAAGAATGGAATGCTTAGAACGCAATCTGATCGATGACACTCGTTTGGACCTTCTATCGCTCGTATTTTGATCACGCGCGTTTTGACCTTCTATCACATGAATCTTGCGCAAAGCACAGCATTGGAGCAAGAGCGTTTTGACTTTCGATCGATCTTGCCCGCAATCTGTACTCTTTGGTTAGTAAAATATCTTAACGTAAATGAATTGCGCTAATGAATTTCTGCAGAAGCATATAATCCTTCTGGTTTCTGAATCCGAACAATTCACGTAGTCCATAGACCTGGATCATTAAGATGACCATTATGGACTGGCCAATAGGCAGCCTCGTTCCTCGTGTTCTACGGCGAGTTGGGATATGACGTCACAACAAACCCTCCCCAACTCGATTGGACAGCGGGAATTAGCTGGGGACGAGGCGGGTCAAAGGGTAGCCTGCGAACGGCAGACGCATTTCCCGTTGTCGCTTCTCTCCCTCCGAAAAATAGCTATTTTTCGGAGGGTGAGAACCGACGACCGGAAATACGTCTGCTGATCGCAGGCTAGTCAAAGACTGTGACAACGGCGCGCGCAGATCTTAAAACTGGCTTGACCCATCCACAGAGCGGCAATTTGAGTGCCGGTAAGTCGTGTTTCTCCCTCTCAGTTTTGGAAACAAGAACTCTAACTAACTGTACCTATTATTACTTGATGGACGATAGCAATGGTTCGCTCTATGCAGTTTTGACTGTATCTGAATCATGTCTTAGATCGTGCATGTGTTGCTTTTGGTCAACTGTGGCTCTTTAAGGTACGGAAAAACGGGCAACAAGAAGCATGCAACTTGTCTTGCAACATTGCTGCAAAACGAGTTGAATAGCGATGTTGCGCGTTTTACCACCCACATAAAACCTGTCTTGCAACAAATCAGGTTGTTAACAGGTTTGAACGTGGGTGGTAAAACGCGCAACATCACTATTCAAATCGTTTTGTAGCAATGTTGCAAGACAACTTACATGTTTTTTGTTGTCCGTTTTTCCGTACCTTAAGAGCTGTTCGGAGCAATTCAACTGAACTAGCCTCTCGAGGCAAAAAACTCGTTAAAAAAGTTCACAGGCCACCCACATGAGGAAAACTACTGGGCTAACTGTGGGGAAGGACAGGGGGTGGGACGGGTTTAGGTCGAGCGGAAGAGGAGAAGGGCGGGAGATGGCAGTTCTAATCCAAAAGAGGGGGAAGCGGAATAAATAGGGGCAAATTACGTGACAATACTTAATATCTTGCAGTCGATAAGGAAAGAAGCCAAGAAAGAAAGCCCGGGGGCAGGGAATGCAAGATACGGGAGACGGGAGGTTTGGACGCCCTGTACCCATCTCCCTTTTAGTCAACTTCCTCCCAAGTTTCTAAGGTTTCTTAGCTATTTCCTTTTTTGTGCGTCGGTCTTGGAGAAAAGTAGAAAAATGTAGCTGCAGCGGCATTACCTGTACGGGCGATTCATTACTTAGAAAAGAAGAAAAGGTGTAATCTTGTTAAAAAGCAGGAGGCATCAGAGCTCGAGCGTTATTGAACATTTTGTTCGGCTGAATCAACTTTTACTGTACTTTGACGTCTTTGCTCTTTTATCAAAGGCTGGGGAGCTAATTTCCTATAAAACTCTTGGTTTTCCCCAGACAACAGTGTCGACTGATTTATAATGGAAAATTTCGTTCTTGACAAGTGTTCCTGTACATTAACAAGCAAAAACAAGCAAATCCGTTTTAATTAGGGCAAGAAGACTTTTCAAGGAACCTCAGGCTTGTGAGTTTTTAACCTGTAGTCTGTAGTAGTACAAATGTAAAACGCTGGCAATTTTCACCTGACAAAAATGGCACCGTTAAGAACTAAAACTAAGTGAATAGTTTCTCGTTTTAGTTTTAGGTTGTTTGGCAGCGCTTTTTCATCTAAAGTGCATTTCTGATCCTAAACTAGCAGATGATTAATTAGGAAGACTGATTAACTTTGGTGGTTTGGTTTTTCAAAAGTAATTGTTAAAAAGCGATCAAATTAAACTTTTCCCTGATCAGAGCCGGCTTTTTCTGAGCTGGGTTAAGATAACCCAGGGTTAGTGCGAAATTTGAATTCAGATATGAAAGCTTAAAAAGAACACTCAGTTTGATTATTTTTGCATATAATTTGTTAGCTGAATGCTCTAAAAATAATTCATAAAATTATCGCGGGAAATGCTTTTGAACAAAAGAAAAAAAAGCCCGTGTTAAAATTTGACTATAGTCTCTTCATTTTCTTTAACGGCACTTAAGATCACTTTGGAAAATCTATGTTGAATAGCGTACGAAACGTCAAGTTTATTAAAAATGCGAAAGCTCACAATGTTGATCATCGCTGTTTATTCTTTGTTTTTGTAACAAAACTTTTGGGTATTTTTATTCCGGAATACGATCAATCAGACGCACCTTTCAATAACCCTTATTATCTGGCATCTGCTTTTATAGAGTCCTTATAGGGTTCTTGCTCGAGAAACTGGGGGATATTCTTTCCATTCTCGTTCTATAAATAGTACTTAGCTGTTTTGACAACTCAATGATAGCTTATTAATATCCCTATATTTTTGTAAAGGTCGCTGTACCCATTAACCTATTGCATGCTTTCTTCTGTTGTCTTTAAGGCTCAGTGGCAAATTATTTGTTGTGATAAAAATAACGAGCAAAGCGGCAAAATGATCCTCAGGGCGGAGACAGAAATTGGCAAGGAAGGTTGAAAAACATGCAGGGTTTTTAAAAAAAAAAAATTGGCGGGTTTACAAGATACAAAGCACAGGCGTGAGACCCCGCTCTCCTTAAGAACTTGAAGCGAAGGGTTTGATTCGTCTGTCCTCAGTCTCACTCACCTTTTTCATCCTTGCTCCAAACCTTTCGTTTAACTGCTCGCGTTCTTGACCTACGCAAAAACTACGGGCTGTCTTGCAGCCTACCAACCAGGAGAAAAACTGTAACATTGACATTATTTAATTCAGAATTTGTTCTCCTTCAGTTTCTCTTTTTTCAGCCCCAAAAATGAGTTTGCAGGGTTCCTTTTTTCATTCTTTCGTTAAAGATTTTGTTATCCGTTGTCGTAAAATCAAAAGATTTGTCATGCCTTGAAGTCGTTTCGGTGAGTAAAATTACTGAAGCACTACACGCCTTAAGTAAAGTTCCTGAGGCTACGAAATTTAATTAGACTTATGGCAGAACTAAAACGTCATTTCAAACACAGAAACGCACAACATTTCAAAGTGATTGTAAAATTCGGTTCCACTCTGGGGTCTTTGTCCTCTGTCACTGGATTGTCTGGAGTGGATTTCGAACGATTTCAAGAGGAACTTGCTGGGATCAAGAACACAGAGAGAAAGCAAATGCCTTTAAGTTCTCCAGAAAACCTTGAATTAATCAGTCATTTTGATATAAAGACATAAATTAAGAAGCTGAAGGTGTCTGCTGTTCCGACGTCTTTCAAGATGCCGCGGTCAGATGTATTTCGACCAGAACGACTGATCCTCGATGGAATGATGGGTTTTGAAGGGGCTGCGTCATCATGATATTGCTGTTTTAGGTCAATTCTGTGCTGAAGTCATTAGTTCAAGTCTTTACCCATACAAAAAATACTCCTGTAGAGATATGAAGGAGACATCAAACAGATTTCATCAGAGAACACAAACCATAAAAATGTTTGGTGATTTTACAGTGCAGGCACTGCATTAAAACTTGAAAAAGTTGTCCAGCTTTTCAAGTTTCAATCCGTATCTCATTCATAGCAACAGACGACAAGAAACAGTTTCAATGCCTAGCTATATAGTCTAAATAACAAAACTGGACCATTTGTTTTGGAATGCAATTCATGCGAAAAACGTTTTAGCTCTTTGGCAAAAAGGTCAAGAGCCATAATGGCTCTTGAAAAGGTATTTATAGCAGATGGCGTGTCATAGGCCCTTTAAGCAATGATTACTCTTCGTAAAATGATTGATGATTATTCCTCTTTTACTGAAAGGAGTCTCGAAGAAGATACAGAGCATAATTGAAACTAAAACAGCGTTGTAAAGGGCAGATTTTACGAGGATATTATACGATGAAACAGACACGGTACAGAGGTACTGAGTTTACGAAAACTCGAAGACTGGATTGCGAATACTCTCCTGTCAAACTTTTAGCAAATATTATGGTAGATAAGCCACACCGCTTACTGAGGGTTAGTGATAGCGTCAATTTCGCGGCTTCCTTTTTAGATATCTGTGGAAATCCTTCTAACTATTTCCATAAAGCTTTAGTTTTAATGGAAATTTCTTCCCTGCTTATAGGACGATCCTGGTTATCTTCCGTAAAATCGTATCAACGCTTTTGCTAGATGTTTCATGCCAAACATGGCGAGCAATATAATAGAGTATCAACTAACAAAAGTATAAAGCAATATTTGTGTTCACGCCAAAAAAAGCGCGTGTAAAACAAAACCTCCTTAATATCTTCTATCCAGTGTTCACTGCACTGCTCACTAGTTTGACTACAATAGTTCTCTGATCCTTTGAGACCTCTTACAGTTGCGTCTAATCATCAATGAGATAGAAGGTGGTGTATCTTTCGACGGAAACACCGGCCGTGAGAATTGGTATATAAGCACCTTAGGAAAAAGTATTGATCCTCTTTTTCAGAGCTTTATCAAATAAAAGCAAAAATTGTAAAGTTAGCTTTGGAAGAAGAAGATGACTAAAAATAACATAACCCTGATTTCTATGCGGCAATCAGGAAGCTATAGGCTCCTGCACCCATTCATTACTACTTCCTGCTGCGGAATGAGTTTGGCTCTCCTCTCTAAAACCGACGACATTCCCACCTCGTTTTCAGGCAAGGTTGTCGTCATTCTGTCACTCGGAGTGTGGCATGTGAATTTTACGATATCTTCTCTTCCGCAATACTAAAGTGGTACGTGAGCGAAAACGAAGCGCAAAACCACAGCGACAAACCTGTTAGTATTACCGGATCTGCCGTGTAGATTTACTGAAATCACAAGAAAATATCATCCGGATACCGTAAACTTCCACTTATCCAGCCGGGATCAATTAAGGTTTCTGGGAAACTGCCCACCTACTCCTCCCCTAACCCAACTTTAACACTTACTTCTCACTCAGATAAAATGTTGGGTTAGGGGAGGGGTAGATGGGCAGTTTATTGATCCAGCAGCATGACCCTCCCGCACCAGTTTTAGGCCCATCTACCTATACCTGTAAACAATAACATACATCCCCCCGGACATAAGCCTCCCTCTGACTTGCATTCAACGAATTCGATTTTGTATGACGATTTGAAGCTTACTGAATACAAAATTCAGTCAGTTAAAAAGTATTATGATTAACACCGCTATGTAGCTTGTTTTGAAAAGCTATTTTTAGTACGGTTATAACCTCCTTAGTTTATAAGCCCTGCTAAGACCCCTTACGAAGTTGTATAAGCCAGCGGGGTTCCGGAAGTTAACGCCTGAGTGGAGTACTGTCTCACTGAGACTTTCTCATTCTTCCGTGATGTACGGTCAGATTTTCTCGGGCTACGTATTCTTTCAGCACGCCAACATGTTTGAGATGTTTCAGCAGTACCGCGAAAAAGTAGCATGCCTTTGTTCGCAGGGTTATCCGTTCATTAATAATATTAAGGTACTGAAAGTAGATAAAAGCAGCGTTATTAGTTTCAGCAGAAACTCTGGTCCTGCGTCGTTGAGGTAGTGAAAATAAGAAGAGGGTTTTGTCAACTGAGTCAAGTTGACGGCCCATTGTGAAAAGATTCCGTCAAAATAGAAAGATCACGTATCGAACGCCCTGAGGCGCCCGTTCTTGGGCCAGCAGAGGACTCGATTCACTCTCACGTGCACCGAAGGGCAAGCTTTCAAAACGTCAGTGAGAATGCCCGGGGGGCTACTAAACGACGTTTTATCGGGGAGGCTCCGCTAGGAGCAGGTGCCTTACCTTTTATATACCCGTTTTGAAAGAAAAGGTACCCCTTCCGTTTACCTCCTATTGACAAACGATCCGATCGAACGCTTGATCCCTTTTAACTACTGTCCTCTGCTGTGAACGCGCTGTGTTTTAAATATGACTAAATTGCTAAAGCGGGAAGTTTTCTTGACTCCAGCCATAAAATGCGCATTATAGCCCTTTTAGACCTTTTACAGACCGAAAAAGCAGTCTCATTACCCTTTCATATACTTCAACTAGTGAAATCCCTACCTTTTTCAGGCTTCAAGTATATGAAAGTGTACCTCATCCGGGCTGAGCCTTCTCGTATAGGCCATTATAAAAAGGGGTAACCGCAGGTGACTATGTATATGGTGGACAATTTTATACTTGATCAAATCAGGTGATATAGTAACTGTAAGATCTTTTTTAGCCTTTGCCCTGACCGTCCTCTGTAGGCTCGCTTTCAAATGTTTTTTTTTAGCATTTTTTTAGACTTGTCAACCCAGTCTCAGTATCCTCAAGTCCAATCCAGCGCTATCAGTCTGTGACTCAGCGCAGATATGGGTTCTGCCATTTAAAGCAACTTTGATTATTTTCCGAAAGTGAATATCAACATTTTTTTGTTTTGTTTTTGGAAATCACAGGTGGTATTAGCGAAAGTTTGTGAAACAATTTTGCTTTTTTGTGATTCACGTCAAGAGCAATTGTCAGTGAACCCATGTAGTCAGGAATAATATTTATTCTGGAAGGACGCTCTCGCCACCTTAAAAATGTCAACAAATTGGAGCTCTCGACAAACTGAAAAACACGAAAGAAAAACAACTTTGTCGGTGAAATGACAACTTGTCGTTTTCAACGAGGATTAAAGATCGTATCGACAGAAACAGGAGTAGACACGACAATTATCACACATGTTCCTAGGAGCCTGGAACTAGACTACAAAAACAAAATGGCGGCAGTGGTCATAGCAAAATATTTATGCGCCAAACATGTGTAGCAAACCAATTTGGAGCTCAACCATTTTACCTCTAATGACAACCTAGGCGGAGGATCTTCAAATGAGGGGTTTCGATTATGCGTTTGGGACCGTTTTGCCTGCACAAGCCCTCGCTTAAGTTATATCTTGCGTGTGCCCTTACATTCGTCATCACTTTGTACTTGTTTTGGAGTGGTTGTGAAGTCGCAACTTCCTTGCCTCCTACGAAACTACAAGAGATAAGAGGTGTGCCGCAAACCGTTGCAGATTGTCCCAAAGTAATTACAAAAGTGACTTACGCAAACAAAGCAGAAGGTGAGCAGAGCGAAGAAGCGGAATTCACTCGCTCTAAGGCCTCAACGAACCAAAACATTTGCCCCGATGTCGAGCGCATCGACGCGATAGTGAATGGCGAAAAGAAATTTCAAGCTACGCTTCATGGAGGGGAAGCTTACGTTCCGTTTTCATTCATCAAGGAATATTTTGATATCTATGGCGAACTACAGGAAATTGAAGGGAAAACTGTTTTAGACTGGCGACATTCTTACTCCGAAGTGCGTACAGCGAAAGCGGGAAGCGCTTATGAAACGAGAGGACCTTTCCTCTGGTTTGAAACGTATCACGTTGAAGGCCGCTCTCGAGTCAAATGTGTTAGCGGCATTGAGGAAGTTCCTGTTTCAACGCAATGGAACCCGAAAGGACATTATTATCCTATACAGATAGCACAATACGGCCTTTCACACTACAACATGTTGCTTCTGGAAGGCGATTCGAAGGAGAAGCGGAAGGTGTTTGAAGATGCTGAAAGCGTTTCCGACGTAACTTGGAACTGGGCAACCTCACAAAATGCAAAGATGGTCAATGTGTTCGATAAAGAACGCAATACTCGAGTTTTACAGTTTTCTACATCAGGTGAGCTTTCTTAGTTGCTTAGATTTCTGAGATTTTCATATTGCTTATGTTATAAATTTACGCCTTCGTTTCTTGTCAATTTAGATCAAAACACTGCGTGATCTTAATTGAATACTATATAAACCTACTAAATGCAAATTAGAAACACTACAATTTAAATTTTCCTCCCTCCTTCATTTTCGGCACAATCTGAGATCATTGTTTCTAAAAAAAGAAACTTGAAACATTTCCAGTTGATTCGTAATCTGTTTGTTTTGTTAATTTTGTTGCGAGTGTGTTTTCAATCAGGCTTTTCCAATTTTTTTCTAGAGGACAAAGAAATGTAAACATGCTCAAAACCATGAAATCATTGTATTTCATTAAAACATTTCTATTTCTGGTATCAGCGACTAGGGAACAATTTAGATCTACCTTACGAGGAATTTAAACATTTTTTATCCGTGAGGACTGAAAACCGGTGTTAATTTATACGGTGAACGTAATTTTCTAGGTAAACAAATTCCAAAATTCTTGTACATTCGATAAGATTTATCGGCTGCATCTGCCGTCGATTTCCTTGCGATAAGCCTTGCATAAACGAGCGAAGACGCAAAATAAAGTCTAAACCACCGTTGGCAAATGTCCTATTTAAAAAGCTTTTATGCTAGTTTAGATTTCCGTATTTATTTGCTAAGAAGCTTTTCAGTTTTTTTAAGGGTTTGAGCTTGCCTTGCGGACCACTAAGTAAGATCAAAACACTTTACGCTTTATTGAAAACCGATTTAATCCGTATGGGGTGTCAGCTAAACTAAATATTTAATACCTTCCTTAAGCCTTTCGCTTGGCTTAAATCGTGCCTAATTTCAAGTTTACTAATATGGTGTCTGTGTTCTGTCTTACAAGTCGGAAACTTGCTACTTTTGAGAAACAGAGACTCTGAATTAATTAAAAGGCAATAGTCAGCGCCTATCGCATTTTCCAGACTTAAGATTTGTACTTGATAAGTTACTCTAAATTGACCATCCTTATCTTGGTTTTAATTAGCATCTATGGTCAGTGATCTCCTCTAGGATGTCATTGAATATTTTCATATTATCATGTTTCAGACTTTTTTTTTATGTTTTGGAGATTTTATTTGTGGAGTCTCGCTTTTCTTTTCTGGAAAAAGACATGTCTGTTGTTTTATTTCTTTCCAGACTTGCCAAATTGAATTACATGAATATTTCACTGATAAATTGCTTTCCAGTATCTTTGGTAACCCATTCTTGGCAAAATAACCTTTTAGTCTAGCAAAAGTAAAATTTAAACTTATGATTTGAATTTCTTTTATTTTATAAGGAATTTTTTAATAATTTTCAGGATCACCATTCAATGCTTTGAAGTATCCACTGACCACCCAAAACATTCGAGAAAAACACATCTTTCCTCACTAAACTCTTGCTCTCAGTCAAGTTGAGGGAATCTTTCTTTTAAAAATGATTACAGATAACTTAACGATTGTTGAAACTAGACAAAAATTTCTGACCTTTTGAATAATGAATCAAGGATACGGTATCCTTTCCTTTGAGTAGATTAGCAAGTCAAGGTTAAATGTTCATTAAGAATACTTATGGTAGATATTTCAGAAACCAGATAGTTATAGCAGCACAAAAAAAGCTGTAGTTTTCAAAGATAGATTGAAACACTTCTAATATGTTCCCCACTCGAAAGGTTTTTTAAAGCCAATATTTGCTTGCTATGGCTATATACAAAATGAACTTACTAATTAGCTTTTTTAAGCACAAAGCCCCTTAACTATATTGTGTCCCAAGAATTTTACTATATTTTTTTTTAGTGATGCCTTAGTATAAAGCATTAAATTAAGGCATTAGATCCGTCGTGTTCATGGAAAATAGCTACTTAATTTCTCAATTGTGTTTACTCATAATTGCTGGTACTGTGCTACACTGTTTTTCACTCTGCACAAAGTTTTAGTCCTCAGTGTGGAAGAAAAGTGACATACTGTAGGTTAGAAACTCCACACTACTGTTCAGTAACTGGAAGTAAACACAGCCAGGCCAGAAACATAATGTCATTGGCAACTTAACAGTGTCCTGTAGGAGGTAAATTGCTTTTTAAAGCTGATGAAGTCATATTATATACAGTCGTAAATGCAGAATTATTATCATCATGATAGTCAAAGGTGTGAATGACAAATATTCTATGTTGAAAGTGCACCAAATAATAATGAGTGGTGTCCTGTGTTACTTGCCAAGGTATCCTTTTATGAAGGACCTCAGCACAAGATGTCCAATATTATTCCTCTTTCTCTTTCGGAACTTGGATGTTGTGTTAATCATGCAATTCCAGGAGAATTCAGCTCTATTTGTTGAATTGATTAAGTTGGAATAATGGTGACTGTGTAAAAAAATTCACATCATTAAATAAGGAACATTTTTGCTGCCAATTCCTGTCCTGTATCGTTAACTCCAAATTCTAAGTAAAATGATGCATTAGGAGAATTTCTAATTTCAATGATTTGGATGTGCCTGAAAAAAAGTGTGGTTCGGTACTTGTCTTACTTGACACTGCTTTGTGTCACCTGTTTTGTGAGGCTTGTGTTGAATGACAGATCACTTGATTGAGTACTAGGCTTTCCAGTTATTTTTTATGCCACGTAATTTTGAAACGATCAAGCAGTAATTTAAAAAGAGAATTAATGTGTGCGTGAAAGAAATTGCTATCACATTTATTGAACTTAAAAATCATTTCACTTCTTGTTAATTTTTTCTACTGTACAATTATCAAACTGTATTCAACTTCACAAACATTCTGGTGGACGGAGTCAAGTTGCATATAATACATGGATTGCTTGAAAGTTAATTTACAGTTTTCTTTATAAATATTTTTGTTCTTGAATCAGTTAACGGTAGTATAAAAGTGTTTTAAGGTATTTTTTGTCAAACATGAGACAAGGTGTGAACAAGGCCACACATGAGGTCATTTAATTTCCTGCTGAGATTTGTATCAAAGTGTGGTGATAAAATCCAAGGTTACCTAAAAATAAAAATGTTTCCATTGTTTTTTTTTAAAAAATTTCTACCCTGTGAAATACTCAATGATAATTCCTTATAATCAGATGATATTTTATCACTAAGGTCAAACTGTAAATGGAAGCAATTATCCTGTTATCTTTTGTCTTGCATGGGGTAAAACTTCTTTGAAAGTGAAATGTTAAAGGAGAGGGGCTTGATTTTACATTTGATTTTAAATAGAGAAAAACGTTTTCAATTTGCTTGCTGTAGTGTTATGTTAAAGTGACAATACTAGGATGTTCTCCTATTAATGCCTCGACCAAGGCAGCTAAACCAAAAGTTTAAGTGGGTCAAAAGATGCCGCACCTACATACAATCTTGGATAAAATAGAATCCCCGCTGCCACCCTTAAGTCAAAATACCACCTTTTATTTGGGGAAATGGGTGGCCTCAATTTTTCGTTTTTAAATCATGATTGTCGCCTACCAATCTCTGGCTTTTACCTCCTCGCACACCACAATATTTCTGTGCTTATTCCTAGTCGTAAACTGGCCTGTAAATGTACACTTTCACTCCCTATTAGCCGTGGCTTGCTGTAATTGGCCATTCTCTATCGCTTTTACTGTACACTGTGTTAGTGCCTTTGTAAAAAATTAACCAAGACAGCAACAACACCAGCATAAATTATTCAGGTAAATCATGCTATATTGGTACTTCTGTGAACAATTTAAATAATCAGTAGAAGAACTAAAAATACATTTATAGTTCCCAAATCTATGTGTAAGTGTTGTAGGTAGGCAGTGCTTCTAAACCTCTGAAAAACATTCCTTGTGGTTTTTCTTGAGAACCCGCAAACATTTTGGCCACGTGCTCACCAGATGACTGAGATATTGGGTGTGGCCGGCAACTAGCGGAAGTAGTTATCTGATCTGTTTCGCGGTCTGTATGAGGACGATTTGTGTTTAAGCATGCTGATAAGTCACTGCTAAAAGCACTGATAAGTGGTTTTGATAATGCCCAAAATTATGGTTGATGCTAGAAGGAAGATAACAAGTGAATTCTTCAAGGGAGGTTAAAACTTCAACCCTTCTTTTTGACACTGACACGGGTAGGGATATCCGAAAATATGCCCCGGGGCTTATATTTTTCTTGAGGGGCTGATTTTTGGAGGGGCGTATATACAGAGGGATATTTGCGTTTCAAAATCGGCTAGGCTTATACCGGGAGGGAAATATGCGTCTTAAAATCTTTTGGGCTAGCTTATAGTTAGAAGGAAATTTATGTCAGTAATTTGCCGCAAGTTTTTACTGAAACTCCCCTCGAGGACGTAGATCTTTCTGAACCTCAGCCATGCAAGTACTTTATCTATATGGACCGAGAAAATCCAAGCCAAAGACTGAAGAGTGAACTACGCAAACAGTAATATACTGTGACACGTTTTGACTGCAGTCATTTGGCACAGGTTGATTCTTTGGCAATGCAAAAATTTATGTTTTATTGTACAGTTTTTGCTTTGTGTTATTTTGAATTTGAGGGCAATTTCCAAGTACAAGCCCCCAGGGGCTTGTATTTGGAGGGGCGATTTATCGGGGGGGTTGCGTTTCGAGTTTGGGGGCCTTATACATGGAGGGGCTTATTTTCGGAATTTTACGATATTTGAGTTACAGTTGGAAATAGAACAAACACAGACACACTATCACAGTAGTAATTTTAACAAACTTCAGGAGTGGAATTGCCCTTTGGTTTAACAAAGCGATGCTAAAACTGGAAACTTCTCCTTTTCATTGTTTTTGTGACATGTTAATGTGGTCTAGTTCGGTTATTTAACCATCAGTTTACGGCCGACGAGTGGTCTGATTTATAAATATTTATGGCACCTAACATGAATATCCGGGTTTTTCCAACGCCATCGTTTCGAATAAACCTAATTCAGAAATAGTTGCTTTGGCAACTGGTTATTGGTAATCGGGCATTGGGCATTTGGGCGCACGAAACATTGTTGCTGTCTTAGTTAACTTGTGTATATATTGAATCAGCTATGTAACGTCGCGGGCATGTATATCGCAAGCTACTGTATCGAGCTGCATTACTTTAAAGCGTCTCTGAAAACACGTCCCTGTGTTTAAAGTCGGTTTGCAAAGTGTACAGTTTCATATGCGCGATTTTCCTGCCATGAGACTTCCTTTAGCAAAGCTGTTTAAAAGTTGGATTTAAGTTCAACCTCTTTGTGGAATGTCGTAGGTTTCAATAAAAATGGCTCTAACACTAAGCTACGGGAGTTTTGTGGGGCTGAACTAGGTTCATGTCGCGAACATCCTAAATGCCGCTGAACACCCAGATAAAATGGAACAGGAGACCCACACCCCACCCCTTGTCCAGGATCATAGGTGAGACGGTTTCATAATGGTCCCCCGGGCATTTATACTTATGATAGCGTGTAACGTTGCAATATATATTATATGGATGAAATCTCTTAATGTGACCAATTTTGTGGTCATACTTCGAAGTTTTCCCGCGAGAGGAAAAGCTAAAAAATGCATCATTTTCTTGTCATTTGTTTGGTTTTAGAAAGTCTGTTTTATGTCCAAATTCGACGTATCTCGCCTCGAAGGCGCCAGATCAATTAACAAGTACTTCACTGTGGCCCATTTAGCACTTTATCTTGTTAACACAGGTGTAGGTGGAAATCGCTTCAAATTGAAAGTGTGCCGCAAAAAGCGTAAATAAACGGCTTCCGTCGATATATATCTAGAGTGCTTTGCGCAAAAACGTGTCACCCTTCTCGAAAAATGTCTTGGTATTTTAGGAATCTTTGGTGTGCATCGGCGTATTAGTGTTTATTTCCGCTGTTACTTTCGTCGACCGGCATTGTGAATTATATGCACGTGTAAATTCAATTTGGGAAAATCAAATTCCAGACATGTGAAAAGGTCACATATCGCTTCCGTGTAAGTGTGGGTTAAAAAGAGACATGAAATTGACCTGATTGTTGTTTATTTAACGGATGTATAGATTGCGTTTCTCACTTCTGGAGAGCGAATCCTTGACCAACAAAAACGCGGAGTAAAATTAACTAAACGGGGGGGGGGGGGATACTCCATCATAAGGGCTTAATGGGACGTGCGGCCAGCCAGAGTATGTTTCTTGGGATTTTTGTCTTAAACAGGGTATCGATTTTATCACTTTTTGTCTTAAACTGGGTATCTCTTTATATAGTTTTGTGATTGCCAATGGATTAAATAAGAAAGAGTTTCGATATTTATTGTCTTACACAGGGTATGGTTAAATGTCTTAAACAGGGTACCAAAAATCGGAATTCTGTCTTAAACAGGGTAGGAAAATCAGCGATTTTTGTCTTAAACGGGGTCAGGGTATGATGGGCCGGGCAGCACCTCCCCACGCAAGGATATATCGAGTCCCCCCCGGGACCAAACGTCTTGAAAGCGAAAGAGCCAAGGTTATATTTTTCTATATTTCGGTCAAGTTAACCACCATGGTAGGAGCCTAAAGGGGCTACTAGTATGGTTCGTGATTTTGGTGGAAAGTTTTCGTCAGAACCCCCTTTACACAAAAACTTCCTTGTATCAGTGGGTGAAGTTAATTAGACATCATAGTCTTCGTGGGAATGCTGGGAAAAGTACTCTATGTTCGACTAGTATAGCCGAGTGCTTCCGTCAAAAATATAACCAGCGGTTCAAAGGTCGTTTTTCTGTCTTGCCTAGTCAGACCCGACTCGAGTCTTTGGCAAACTCGAGTCCGCAGGAGGACGCCTAGTACAGTGAGAACCCGAGGTTTCTGTTTGCGAGATTGGTACCGGACCGTCTCTTGTACGCATTGTCACTTCTGATCTGAGAAATAACTGCTTGGGTGTCCTGTGGAATTACGAGTCTTGGTTTGTTTGTCATTTGTTCACAAACCTACAGTGGGACTCTAATGACTAATCTGTTTGTGTTTTGCCGGCAACCCTATCTTCTCCAATATTGTCTACTCTAGTGACCAGGGCCCTTAATCATGCATGTATCAATACAGAGCTTTAGATTTGAGGACGAGGACGAGTGCGAGATTTAACTTAAAGTTTTTTAGCGTATTCTTGAAAAATATTCAACCCGGAAAGCTTCATTGTACAGAAAAATTAGTGCGGTTATTTTTATTGGAGAAGGTTTAGCCCTTTCGCGGTCGCAAAATGATTAAACTTAAAGAATTTGATAACTTGTTCCCGCCATCACGACATTCTTCGCCAAGACTCGTTGTAGAATGACGACGGCTACCAGGTTTTCCCGCCAAAATGACGTTGGTTCGTGTGCGCGCACTACTTATTGAGAAAATCTCGTTCTCATAGTCGTCCTCGGCTCGGAATCTAAAGCTCTCTGATTAGAGAGCTTAAGATTCTAAGATAATAAGTAGTGCTCGCGCGTGAACCAGCGTCATTTTGGCGGGAAAAAGCGGGAGCCGTAGTCATTCTACTACGAGTTTTAGCGCGAATGTCGTGGTGGCGAAAACAAGATATCAAATGTTAGAAGTTGTATCATTTTGCCATCGGGAGAACGCGTAACCTCCTTCACTAAAGATGAGAGTGCTAATTTTTCTAGTGAAAAATGGTAAAATAAAGCGTTCCGGGAAGTCTACATTTTGAGAATACGCAAAAAACTTTTAAGTCAAATCTCGTACTCGTCCTCGTTCTGAAATCTAAAGGTCTCTAATGACGGACGGAGACTGGCGGACTACTGCGTTTGTTAATGAGGTAGATTTAGTAACTTAAAATGTGTTGGTACCTGGTTGACAAGTGCATCATAAAAGTCACATGATTACTGTAAAATTAGCTTAAAAGGACATGGCTTGAAAATACCTATGCACATATTTGATTCAGAAGAGCCTTCAATATGTCTTTAGAGAGAAAGACTACGAGATTCTCTCAATGCTAAGTAGTGAACCAACGATGCAGTATGATATTGGACGATCCAGACTCTGCGAATCGTCCCATCTTAGAGCTTTCAGTGATGCTCCCCGTCAAAATTTTCTAAGGTGACCAACAACCAAATATAAACTGCTAAGCGGCACCGAAACCAGCTTTAGGCAAACGTGATAACCTTCGTCATTCTACTTCGAGTGACAAAAACAAGTTATCAAATGTTAGAAGTTTTATCATTTTGCTATCGGGAGAGGGCTTAACCTCCTTCAATGAAGATAACAGTGCTAACTGTTTTGGGGACAAAAGGTAAAATGAAGCTCTCCGGGTTGTCTATTTTTTGAGAATATGCGAAAAAACCTGCAAGTCAAATCTTCGTATTCGTCCTCGAATCTAAAGGTCTCTACTTTAACAAGAAAGCGAAACAATTTGTCCGAAAATGACGTCACGATCTTTCCCAGACTTGCGTTCCACTAATAGGCTCCTGACCCCACTGGAATTTTAGACATGTGAAACGCGTGGAAGAAAAATCGATTTTGAATTTGTTTTTCGCTCTTGTTATCGGGACATTGCGTAGATTCTGCAGAGCAGATGAAAAATCCATCCGTTATATACACTTAACGCCTTGCCTTCAAGCTACACTTTGCAACCGATAACTTGGAACACCTTCGAGGAAATATCGGGAGGTACTAAGGAACAAATAACGAAAGGCAAGGGCGGATCTAGGGGGAGGGTGCAGGGGGTGCGCACCCCCCCCCTGACATGACCTGCGGTTTTCTAATACAACTGGTATTCTTCGAAAAAAAAACTATGTGGTTTATTGGTGTTGAAGTAGAGCAAGAGACGACTGCACCCCCTCCTAAAAAAAATCCTGGATCCACCCTTGAAAGGGAGTCTTCATTGCTGTTTGAATGATATGAAATCACTTTCTTTTGGAAGAGCAACGCCAACAGAAAATTTATTCACCACATCGATGATACACTTGTTACCTTGTCTCGAAAGAGTTCAAGTTACCGAGGGTAAAGTTATGTTAAATTAACGAACTTGACCTGAAGGGATATAGAATTACTTCTAGTTATAAGAGACGTTTCCGGTTATTAACGGTAAGGCTTACGTATCGAGTGATTCGAGGGGAAATCAATTTTGGTGCGAGTTAGCGCGGCTTTCTAGTTACCAGTAGTCAATTGCTTTTTTATGAGCTATTCATTGGATGCTGTTCATTGGCCATGATGCGGAAGCGCATGAAACCTTTTCGTTGTTGAAACCGCGTTTCCTGCTCAACTATAATTTTTCTTGTAATAAGATCTAGGTGGAAACGTTAGGGTAGTGAAAAACGCAGAACAGCTTCTAAAAATCACCATCTGTCGCTGTTCTCACTGCTGTCACTGTTCTCGCTGTTCTTAGTGCTGTCACTCTTGTCGCTAATGTCACTGTTGTCGCTGTTGTCACTGTTGTCGCTGGTGTCATTGTTGTCACTGTTGTCACTGTTTTCTTTGTTGCACAGTTGTCACTGTTGTTGCTGTTGTCACTGTTTTCTGTGTTGCACTGTTGTCACTGTTGTCGCTGTTCTCACTGTTGTCACTGTTTTCGCTGTTCTTACTGTTGTCACTGTTGTGGCTGTTGTCACTGTGGTCACTGCTATCGCTGTTGTCACTGTTGTCGCTGTTGTCACTGTTGTCACTGTTGTCACTGTTTTCTGTGTTTCACTGTTGTCACTGTTGTCGCTGTTGTCACTCTTTCCTGTGTTTTCGCTGTTCTTACTGTTGTCACTGTTGTGGCTGTTCTCACTGTTGTCACTGTGGTCACTGCTGTCACTGCTATCACTGTTGTCGCTGTTGTCACTCTTTCCTGTGTTGCACTGTTGTCGCTGTTGTCACTGTTGTCAGTGTTCTCACTTTTGTCGCTGTTGTCACTGTTTTCACTGTTTTTTGTGTTCCACTGTTGTCACTGCTGTCACTGCTGTCACTGTTCTCCCTGTTGTCACTGTTCTTACTGTTGTTGCTGTTGTCACTGTCGTCACTGTTGTCACTGTTATCGCTGTTCTCACTTTTCTCACTGTTGTCTCTGTTGTCACTGTTATCACTGTTGCGCTGTCGTCACTGCTGTCACTGTTGTCACTCTTGGCAGTGCTCTCACTGTTCTCACCGCTGTCACTGTTCTCACTGTTGTCACTGCTATCACTGTTGTCACTGTTGTCAGTGCTGTCACTGTTGTCACTGTTGTCTTTTCTTTCACTGTTGTCACTGCTGTCACTGTTGTCACTGTTGTCACTGTTGTCGCTGTTGTCACTGCTGTCACTGTTGTCACTACTGTCACTGCTGTCACTGTTGTCACTGTTGTCACTGTTGTTACTGTTGTCACTGTTGTCACTGTTGTCACTGTTGTCACTGTTGTCACTGTTGTCACTCTTGTCCCTGTTGTCACTGTTGTCACTGTTGTCACTGTTGTCACTGTTGTCACCGTTGTCACTGTTGTCACTGTTGTTACTGTTGTCACTGTTGTCACTGTTGTCACTGTTGTCACTGTTGTCACTGTTGTCACTGCTGTCACTGTTGTCACTGCTGTCACTGTTGTCACTGTTGTCACTTTTGTCACTGTTGTCACTGCTGTCACTGTTGTCACTGTTGTCAGTGTTGTCACTGTTGTCACTGCTGTCACTGTTGTCACTGTTGTCACTGTTGTCACTGTTGTCACTGTTGTCACTCTTGTCACTGTTGTCACTGTTGTCACTGCTGTCACTGTTGTCACTGCTGTCACTGTTGTCACTGTTGCTGTCACTGCTGTCACTGTTGTCACTGCTGTCACTGTTGTCACTGCTGTCACTGCTGTCAGTGTTGTCACTGCTGTCACTGTTGTCACTGTTGTCTTTGCTGTCACTTTTGTCACTGCTGTCACTGCTATCACTGTTGTCACTGCTGTCACTGTTGTCACTGCTGTCACGGTTGTCACTGCTGTTACTGCTGTCACTGTTGTCACTGCTGTCACTGTTGTCTTTGCTGTCACTTTTGTCACTGCTGTCACTGCTATCACTGTTGTCACTGCTGTCACTGCTGTCACTGTTGTCACTGCTGTCACGGTTGTCACTGCTGTCACTGTTGTTTGCTGTCACTGTTGTCACTGCTGTCACTGTTGTCACTGTTGTCACTGTTGTCACTGTTGTCACTGTTGTCATTGCTGTCACTGTTGTCACTGCTGTCACTGTTGTCACTGCTGTCACTGTTGTCACACTGTTGTTGTCACTGCTGTCACTGTTGTCACTGTTGTCACTGTTGTCACTGCTGTCACTGTTGTCACTGCTGTCACTGCTGTCACTATTTGTCACTGTTGTCACTGTTGTCACTGTTGTCTGGTTGTCACTGTTGTCACTGTTGTCACTGTCACTGTTGTCACTGCTGTCACTGCTTGTCAGTGTTGTCACTGTTGTCACTGTTGTCACTGTTTGTCACTGTTGTCACTGCTTGTCACTGTTGTCACTGTTGTCACTGTTGTCTTTATTGTCACTGTTGTCACTGTTGTCACTGCTGTCACTGTTGTCACTGTTGTCACTGCTGTCACTGTTGTCACTGTTGTCACATTTGTCACTGTTGTCATTGTTGTCACTGTTGTCACTGCTGTCACTGTTGTCACTGCTGTCACTGTTGTCACTGTTGTCTTTGCTGTCACTTTTGTCTCTGTTGTCTTTGCTATCACTGTTGTCACTGTTGTCACTGCTGTCACTGTTGTCACTGTTGTCACTGTTGTCACTGCTGTCACTGTTGTCACTGTTTTCACTGCTGTCACTGCTGTCACTGTTGTCACTGTTGTCACTGTTGTCACTGCTGTCACTGTTGTCACTGTTGTCACTGCTGTCACTGCTGTCACTGTTGTCACTGTTGTCACTGTTGTCACTGCTGTCACTGTTGTCACTGTTGTCACTGTTGTCACTGCTGTCGCTCTTGTCACTGTTGTCACTGCTGTCACTGTTGTCACTGTTGTCACCTTTGTCACTGCTGTCACTTTTGTCACTGCTGTCACTGCTGTCACTGTTGTCACTGCTGTCACTGCTGTCACTGTTGTCACTGTTGTCACTGCTGTCACTGCTGTCATTGTTGTCACTGCTGTCACTGTTGTCATTGCTGCCGCTGCTTTTAGTGTTGTCACTGTTGTCACTGTTGTCTTTGCTGTCACTTTTGTCACTGCTGTCACTGCTATCACTGTTGTCACTTTTGTCACTGCTGTCACTGCTGTCACTGTTGTCACTGCTGTCACTGTTGTCACTGCTGTCACTGCTGTCACTGTTGTCACTGCTGTCACTGTTGTCACTGTTGTCACTGCTGTCGCTCTTGTCACTGTTGTCACTGTTTTCACTGCTGTCGCTCTTGTCACTGTTGTCACTGCTGTCACTGTTGTCACTGCTGTCACTGTTGTCACTGTTGTCACTGTTGTCACTGCTGTCACTGTTCTCACTGCTGTCACTGTTGTCACTGTTGTCTTTGCTGTCACTGCTTTCACTGTTGTCACTGCCGTCACGGTTGTCACTGCTGTCACTGCTGTCACTGTTGTCACTGCTTTCCCTGCTGTCACTGCTTTCAGTGTTGTCACTGTTGTCACTGTTTTCACTGTTGTCACTGTTGTCACCGTGTCACTACTGTCACTGTTGTCACTGTTGTCTTTGCTGTCATTGCTGTCACTGTTGTCACTGCTGTCACTGTTGTCACTGCTGTCACTGTTGTCACTGCTGTCACTGTTGTCACTGCTGTCACTGCTGTCACTGTTGTCTTTGCTTTCACTGTTGTCACTGTTGTCACTGCTGTCACTGCTGTCACTGTTGTCACTGCTGTCACTGTTGTCACTGCTGTCACTGTTGTCACTGCTGTCACTGTTGTCACTGCTGTCACTGCTGTCACTGTTGTCACTGCTGTCACTGTTGTCACTGTTGTCACTGTTGTCACTGCTGTCACTGTTGTCACTGTTGTCACTGCTGTCATTGTTGTCACTGCTGTCACCGTTGTCAGTGTTGTCACTGCTGTCACTGCTGTTACTGTTGTCACTGCTGTCGCTGCTGTCACTGTTGTCACTGTTGTCTTTGCTGTCACTGCTGTCACGGTTGTCACTGCTGTTACTGCTGTCACTGTTGTCACTGCTGTCACTGCTGTCATTGTTGTCACTGCTGTCACTGTTGTCACTGTTCACTTTTGTCACTTTTGTCACTGCTGTCACTGCTGTCACTGTTGTCACTGCTGTCACTGCTGTCACTGTTGTCACTGCTGTCACTGTTGTCACTGCTGTCACTGTTGTCACTGTTGTCACTGCTGTCACTGCTTGTCACTGTCTGCTGTCACTGTTGTCACTGTTGTCACTGTTGTCACTGTTCACTGTGTCACTGCTGTCACTGTTGTCACTGTCACTGTTGTCACTGCTGTCACTGTTGTCACTGTTGTCACTGTCACTGTCACTGCTGTCACTGTTGTCACTGCTGTCACTGTTGTCACTGCTGTCACTGTTGTCACTGTTGTCACTGCTGTCACTGTTGTCACTGCTGTCACTGCTGTCACTGTGTCACTGTCTGCTGTCACTGCTGTCACTGTTGTCACTGCTGTCACTGTTGTCACTGCTGTCACTGTTGTCACTGCTGTCAGTGTTGTCACTGCTGTCACTGTTGTCACTGTTGTCTTTGCTGTCACTTTTGTCACTGCTGTCACTGCTATCACTGTTGTCACTGCTGTCACTGCTGTCACTGTTGTCACTGCTGTCACGGTTGTCACTGCTGTTACTGCTGTCACTGTTGTCACTGCTGTCACTGTTGTCATTGCTGCCGCTGCTTTTAGTGTTGTCACTGCTGTCACTGCTGTCACTGTTGTCTCTGCTGTCACTGTTGTCACTGTTGTCACTGCTGTCACTGTTGTCACTGCTGTCACTGCTGTCACTGTTGTCACTGCTGTCACTGTTGTCACTGCTGTCACTGTTGTCACTGTTGTCACTGCTGTCACTGTTGTCACTGCTGTCACTGCTGTCACTGTCACTGTCACTGTCACTGCTGTCACTGTTGTCACTGTTGTCACTGCTGTCACTGCTGTCACTGTTGTCACTGTTGTCACTGCTGTCACTGCTGTCACTGTTGTCACTGTTGTCACTGCTGTCACTGTTGTCACTGCTGTCACTGCTGTCACTGTTGTCACTGCTGTCACTGTTGTCACTGCTGTCACTGTTGTCACTGTTGTCACTGCTGTCACTGTTGTCACTGCTGTCACTGTTGTCACTGCTGTCACTGCTGTCACTGTTGTCACTGCTGTCACTGCTGTCACTGTTGTCACTGCTGTCACTGTTGTCACTGCTGTCACTGCTGTCACTGTTGTCACTGTTGTCACTGTTGTCACTGCTGTCACTGCTGTCACTGTTGTCACTGCTGTCACTGTTGTCACTGTTGTCACTGCTGTCACTGCTGTCACTGTTGTCACTGTTGTCACTGCTGTCACTGTTGTCACTGTTGTCACTGCTTTCACTGTTGTCACTGCTGTCACTGCTTGTCACTGTTGTCACTGCTGTCACTGTTGTCACTTTGTTGTTGTCACTGTTGTCACTGCTGTCACTGCTGTCACTGCTGTCACTGTTGTCACTGCTGTCACTGTCACTGTTGTCACTTTGTCACTGCTGTCACTGTTGTCACTGCTGTCACTGTCACTGTTGTCACTGCTGTCACTGTTGTCACTGTTGTCACTGTTGTCACTGCTGTCACTGTTGTCACTGTTGTCACTGCTGTCACTGTTGTCACTGTTGTCACTGCTGTCACTGCTGTCACTGTTGTCACTGTTGTCACTGTTGTCACTGCTGTCACTGTTGTCACTGTTGTCACTCACTGCTGTCACTGCTGTCACTGTTGTCACTGCTGTCACTGCTGTCACTGTTGTCACTGCTGTCACTGTTGTCACTGTTGTCACTCACTGTTGTCACTGCTGTCACTGCTGTCACTGTTGTCACTGCTGTCACTGTTGTCACTGTTGTCACTGCTGTCACTGTTGTCACTGTTGTCACTGCTGTCACTGTTGTCACTGCTGTCACTGTTGTCACTGCTGTCACTGTTGTCACTGTTGTCACTGCTGTCACTGTTGTCACTGCTGTCACTGTTGTCACTGTTGTCACTGCTGTCACTGTTGTCACTGTTGTCACTGTTGTCACTGCTGTCACTGTTGTCACTGTTGTCACTGCTGTCACTGTTGTCACTGCTGTCACTGCTGTCACTGTTGTCACTGTTGTCACTGCTGTCACTGCTGTCACTGTTGTCACTGTTGTCACTGCTGTCACTGTTGTCACTGTTGTCACTGTTGTCACTGCTGTCACTGCTGTCACTGTTGTCACTGCTGTCACTGCTGTCACTGTTGTCACTGCTGTCACTGTTGTCACTGCTGTCACTGCTGTCACTGTTGTCACTGCTGTCACTGCTGTCACTGCTGTCACTGTTGTCACTGCTGTCACTGCTGTCACTGTTGTCACTGTTGTCACTGCTGTCACTGTTGTCACTGTTGTCACTGCTGTCACTGTTGTCACTGCTGTCACTGTTGTCACTGCTGTCACTGTTGTCACTGTTGTCACTGCTGTCACTGCTGTCACTGCTGTCACTGTTGTCACTGTTGTCACTGTTGTCACTGTTGTCACTGCTGTCACTGTTGTCACTGTTGTCACTGCTGTCACTGTTGTCACTGTTGTCACTGCTGTCACTGCTGTCACTGTTGTCACTGCTGTCACTGTTGTCACTGTTGTCACTGTTGTCACTGTTGTCACTGCTGTCACTGCTGTCACTGTTGTCACTGCTGTCACTGTTGTCACTGTTGTCACTGTTGTCACTGTTGTCACTGCTGTCACTGCTGTCACTGTTGTCACTGTTGTCACTGCTGTCACTGCTGTCACTGTTGTCACTGCTGTCACTGCTGTCACTGTTGTCACTGCTGTCACTGTTGTCACTGTTGTCACTGCTGTCACTGTTGTCTCTGCTGTCACCGTTGTCACTGTTGTCAGTGTTGTCACTGCTGTCACTGCTGTCACTGTTGTCACTGTTGTCGCTGCTGTCACTGTTGTCATTGCTGTCACTGCTGTCACTGTTGTCACTGCTTTCAGTGTTGTCACTGTTGTCACTGCTGTTAATGCTGTCACTGTTTTCTTTGCTGCCACTGCTGTCACTGTTGTCGCTGCTGTCACTGTTGTCACTGTTGTTACTGTTGTCGTTGTTGTCACTGTTGTCACTGCTGTCACTGTTGTCACTGTTGTCAGTGTTGTCACTGTTGTCATGTTGTACCTGTTGTCAGTATTGTCACTGCTGTCACTGTTGTCACTGCTGTCACTTCTGTCACTGCTGTCAATGTTTTCACTATTGTCCCTGTGGTCACTGTTGTCCCATTTGTCACTGTTGTCACTGTTCTCACTGCTGTCACTGTTGTCCCTGTTGTCACTGCTGTCACTGTTGTCACTGCTGTCACTGTTGTCACTGTTGTCACTGCTCTCACTGTTCACTGTTGTCACTGCTGTCACTGCTGTCACTGTTGTCACTGTTGTCTTTGCTTTCACTGCTGTCACTGTTGTCACTGCCGTCACTGTTGTCACTGCTCTCACTGTTGTCATGCTGTCACTGCTGTCACTGTTGTCACTGCTGTCACTGTTGTCACTGTTGTCACTGCTGTCACTGTTGTCACTGCTGTCACTGCTGTCACTGTTGTCACTGTTGTCACTGCTGTCACTGCTGTCACTGCTGTCACTGTTGTCACTGCTGTCACTGTTGTCACTGTTGTCACTGCTGTCACTGTTGTCACTGTTGTCACTGTTGTCACTGTTGTCACTGCTGTCACTGCTGTCACTGTTGTCACTGTTGTCACTGCTGTCACTGCTGTCACTGTTGTCACTGCTGTCACTGCTGTCACTGTTGTCACTGTTGTCACTGTTGTCACTGCTGTCACTGTTGTCACTGTTGTCACTGCTGTCACTGTTGTCACTGCTGTCACTGTTGTCACTGCTGTCACTGTTGTCACTGCTGTCACTGTTGTCACTGCTGTCACTGTTGTCACTGTTGTCACTGCTGTCACTGTTGTCACTGCTGTCACTGTTGTCACTGCTGTCACTGTTGTCACTGCTGTCACTGCTGTCACTGCTGTCACTGCTGTCACTGTTGTCACTGCTGTCACTGTTGTCACTGTTGTCACTGTTGTCACTGTTGTCACTGCTGTCACTGTTGTCACTGTTGTCACTGCTGTCACTGTTGTCACTGCTGTCACTGCTGTCACTGTTGTCACTGCTGTCACTGTTGTCACTGCTGTCACTGCTGTCACTGTTGTCACTGCTGTCACTGTTGTCACTGTTGTCACTGCTGTCACTGTTGTCACTGCTGTCACTGTTGTCACTGCTGTCACTGTTGTCACTGCTGTCACTGCTGTCACTGTTGTCACTGCTGTCACTGTTGTCACTGCTGTCACTGTTGTCACTGTTGTCACTGCTGTCACTGTTGTCACTGTTGTCACTGCTGTCACTGTTGTCACTGCTGTCACTGTTGTCACTGTTGTCACTGCTGTCACTGTTGTCACTGTCACTGCTGTCACTGCTGTCACTGTTGTCACTGTTGTCACTGCTGTCACTGTTGTCATTGCTGTCACTGCTGTCACTGTTGTCACTGCTTTCAGTGTTGTCACTGTTGTCACTGCTGTTAATGCTGTCACTGTTTTCTTTGCTGCCACTGCTGTCACTGTTGTCACTGCTGTCACTGTTGTCACCTTTGTTAGTGTTGTCACTGCTGTCACCGTTTTCACTGTTGTCACTGCTGTCACTGTTGTCACTCTTGTCACTGCTGTCACTGCTGTCACTGTTGTTACTGCTGTCACTTCTGTCACTGCTGTCACTGTTGTCACTGCTTTCGCTGTTGTCACTGCTGTCACTGTTGTCACTGCTGTCACTGTTGTCACTGCTGTCACTGTTCTCACTGCTGTCACGGTTGTCACTGTTGTCTTTGCTTTCACTGTTGTCACTGTTGTCACTGCCGTCACGGTTGTCACTGTTGTCACTGTTGTCACTGCTGTCACTGCTGTCACTGCTGTCACTGTTGTCACTGTTGTCACTGTTGTCACTGCTGTCACTGTTGTCACTGTTGTCACTGCTGTCACCGTTGTCACTGTTGTCACTGCTGTCACTGCTGTCACTGTTGTCACTGCTGTCGCTGCTGTCACTGTTGTCACTGTTGTCTTTGCTGTCACTGTTGTCACTGTTGTCACTGCTGTTACTGCTGTCACTGTTGTCACTGCTGTCACTGTTGTCACTGCTGTCACTGCTGTCACTGTTGTCACTGCTGTCACTGCTGTCACTGCTGTCACTGTTGTCACTGCTGTCACTGCTGTCACTGTTGTCACTGCTGTCACTGCTGTCACTGTTGTCACTGTTGTCTTTGCTTTCACTGCTGTCACTGTTGTCACTGTTGTCACTGCTGTCACTACTGTCACTGTTGTCACTGCTGTCACTGTTTTCTCTGTTGTCACTGCTGTCACTGCTCTCACTGTTGTCACTGCTGTCACTGTCACTGCTTTCACTGTTGTCACTGCTGTCACTGTTGTCACTGTTGTCACTGTTGTCACTGCTGTCACTGTTGTCACTGTTGTCACTGCTGTCACTGCTGTCACTGTTGTCACTGCTGTCACTGTTGTCACTGTTGTCACTGTTGTCACTGCTGTCACTGCTGTCACTGTTGTCACTGCTGTCACTGTTGTCACTGCTGTCACTGTTGTCACTGCTGTCACTGTTGTCACTGCTGTCACTGTTGTCACTGTTGTCACTGCTGTCACTGCTGTCACTGTTGTCACTGCTGTCACTGTTGTCACTGCTGTCACTGTTGTCACTGCTGTCACTGCTGTCACTGTTGTCACTGCTGTCACTGTTGTCACTGTTGTCACTGCTGTCACTGTTGTCACTGTTGTCACTACTGTCACTGTTGTCACTGTTGTCTCTGCTGTCACTGCTGTCACTGTTGTCACTGTTGTCAGTGTTGTCACTGCTGTCACTGCTGTTACTGTTGTCACTGCTGTCACTGCTGTCACTTCTTTCAGTGTTGTCACTTTTGTCACTGCCTTTACTGCTGTCACTCTTGTCACTGTTTTCTTTGCTGCCACTGCTGTCACTGTTGTCACTGCTGTCACTGCTGTCACTGTTGTCACTGTTGTCACTGCTGTCACTGTTGTCACTGCTGTCACTGCTGTCACTGTTGTCACTGCTGTCACTGCTGTCACTGTTGTCACTGCTGTCACTGCTGTCACTGTTGTCACTGCTGTCACTGCTGTCACTGTTGTCACTGCTGTCACTGCTGTCACTGTTGTCACTGCTGTCACTGTTGTCACTGTTGTCACTGCTGTCACTGTTGTCACTGCTGTCACTGTTGTCACTGTTGTCACTGCTGTCACTGCTGTCACTGTTGTCACTGCTGTCACTGCTGTCACTGTTGTCACTGTTGTCACTGTTGTCACTGCTGTCACTGCTGTCACTGTTGTCACTGCTGTCACTGTTGTCACTGCTGTCCCTGTTGTCACTGTTGTCACTGTTGTCACTGTTGTCACTGTTTTCACTGTTGTCACTGCTGTCACTGTTGTCTCTGCTGTCACTGCTGTCACTGTTGTCACTGCTGTCACTGTTGTCACTGCTGTCACTGTTGTCACTGCTGTCACTGTTGTCACTGCTGTCACTGCTGTCACTGTTGTCACTGCTGTCACTGCTGTCACTGCTGTCACTGTTGTCACTGCTGTCACTGCTGTCACTGTTGTCACTGCTGTCACTGTTGTCACTGCTGTCACTGTTGTCACTGCTGTCACTGTTGTCACTGTTGTCACTGTTGTCACTGCTGTCACTGTTGTCACTGCTGTCACTGTTGTCACTGTTGTCACTGCTGTCACTGTTGTCACTGCTGTCACTGTTGTCACTGTTGTCACTGCTGTCACTGTTGTCACTGCTGTCACTGCTGTCACTGTTGTCACTGCTGTCACTGTTGTCACTGTTGTCACTGCTGTCACTGCTGTCACTGTTGTCACTGCTTGTCACTGTTGTCACTGCTGTCACTGCTGTCACTGTTGTCACTGCTGTCACTGTTGTCTGTCACTGCTGTCACTGCTGTCACTGCTGTCACTGTTGTCACTGCTGTCACTGTTGTCACTGCTGTCACTGCTGTCACTGTTGTCACTGTTGTCACTGCTGTCACTGTTGTCACTGTTGTCACTGCTGTCACTGTTGTCACTGCTGTCACTGCTGTCACTGTTGTCACTGCTGTCACTGCTGTCACTGCTGTCACTGTTGTCACTGCTGTCACTGCTGTCACTGTTGTCACTGCTGTCACTGTTGTCACTGCTGTCACTGCTGTCACTGTTGTCACTGTTGTCACTGCTGTCACTGCTGTCACTGTTGTCACTGCTGTCACTGTTGTCACTGCTGTCACTGTTGTCACTGTTGTCACTGCTGTCACTGTTGTCACTGCTGTCACTGCTGTCACTGCTGTCACTGTTGTCACTGTTGTCACTGCTGTCACTGTTGTCACTGCTGTCACTGCTGTCACTGTTGTCACTGTTGTCACTGTTGTCACTGCTGTCACTGTTGTCACTGTTGTCACTGCTGTCACTGCTGTCACTGTTGTCACTGCTGTCACTGCTGTCACTGTTGTCACTGTTGTCACTGTTGTCACTGTTGTCACTGTTGTCACTGCTGTCACTGTTGTCACTGCTGTCACTGTTGTCTGTCACTGTTGTCACTGCTGTCACTGCTGTCACTGCTGTCACTGCTGTCACTGTTGTCACTTTTGTCACTGCTTGTTACTGTTGTCACTGTTGTCACTGCTGTCACTGTTGTCACTGCTGTCACTGTTGTCACTGTTGTCACTGCTGTCACTGTTGTCACTGCTGTCACTGTTGTCACTGCTGTCACTGTTGTCACTGCTGTCACTGCTGTCACTGTTGTCACTGCTGTCACTGTTGTCACTGCTGTCACTGTTGTCACTGCTGTCACTGTTGTCACTGCTGTCACAGTTGTCACTGCTGTCACTGTTGTCACTGTTGTCACTGCTGTCACTGTTGTCACTGTTGTCACTGCTGTCACTGCTGTCACTGTTGTCACTGCTTTCCCTGCTGTCACTGCTTTCAGTGTTGTCACTGTTTTCCCTGTTGTCACTGCTGTCACTGTTGTCACCGTTGTCACTGCTGTCACTGTTGTCACTGTTGTCTTTGCTGTCACTGCTGTCACTGTTGTCACTGTTGTCACTGTTGTCACTGCTGTCACTGTTGTCACTGCTGTCACTGTTGTCACTGCTGTCACTGTTGTCACTGTTGTTACTGTTGTCGTTGTTGTCACTGTTGTCACTGTTGTCACTGTCACTGTTGTCACTGCTGTCACTGTTGTCACTGTTGTCACTGTTGTCACTGTTGTCACTGTTGTCACTGTTGTCACTGTTGTCACTGTTGTCACTGTTGTCACTGTTGTCACTGTTGTCACTGTTGTCACTGTTGTCACTGTTGTCACTGCTGTCACTGTTGTCACTGTTGTCACTGTTGTCACTGTTGTCACTGCTGTCACTGTTGTCACTGCTGTCACTGTTGTCACTGCTGTCACTGCTGTCACTGTCGTCACTGCTGTCACTGTTGTCACTGTTGTCACTGCTCTCACTGTTGTCACTGTTGTCACTGCTGTCACTGTTGTCACTGTTGTCACTGCTGTCACTGTTGTCACTGTTGTCACTCTTTCACTGTCACTGCTGTCACTGTTGTCACTGCTTTCCCTGTTGTCACTGCTGTCACTGTTGTCACTGTTGTCACTGTTGTCACTGTTGTCACTGTTGTCACTGTTGTCACTGCTGTCACTGTTGTCACTGCTGTCACTGTTGTCACTGCTGTCACTGTTGTCACTGCTGTCACTGTTGTCACTGCTGTCACTGTTGTCACTGTTGTCACTGCTGTCACTGCTGTCACTGCTGTCACTGTTGTCACTGCTGTCACTGTTGTCACTGTTGTCACTGCTGTCACTGTTGTCACTGTTGTCACTGTTGTCACTGCTGTCACTGTTGTCACTGCTGTCACTGCTGTCACTGTTGTCACTGTTGTCACTGCTGTCACTGTTGTCACTGCTGTCACTGCTGTCACTGTTGTCACTGCTGTCACTGTTGTCACTGTTGTCACTGCTGTCACTGTTGTCACTGCTGTCACTGTTGTCACTGCTGTCACTGTTGTCACTCTTGGCAGTGCTCTCACTGTTCTCACCGCTGTCACTGTTGTCACTGCTGTCACTGTTGTCACTGTTGTCACTGCTGTCACTGTTGTCACTGTTGTTTTCACTGTTGTCACTGCTGTCACTGTTGTGACTGCTGTCACTGCTGTCAATGTTTTCACTGCTGTCACTGTTGGCGTTGTTGTCATTGCTGTCACAGCTGTCACTGTTGTCACCGTTGTCAAGGCTGTCACTGCTTTCACTGCTGTCACTGTTGTCACTGCTGTCACTGTTGGCACTGCTCTTACTGTTGTCACTGTTGTCACTGCTGTCACTGCTTTCACTGCTGTGACTGTTGTCACTGCTTTCACAGTTGTCACTGCTATCACTGTTGTCACTGTTGTCACTGCTGTCACTGTTGTCACTGCTGTCACTGTTGTCTTTGCTTTCCCTGCTGTCACTGTTGTCTTTGCTTTCACTGCTGTCACTGTTGTCACTGCTGTCACTGTCACTGTTGTCACTGTTGTCACTGCTGTCGCTCTTGTCACTGTTGTCACTGCTGTCACTGCTGTCACTGTTGTCACTGCTGTCACTGCTGTCACTGTTGTCACTGCTGTCACTGCTGTCACTGTTGTCACTGTTGTCACTGCTGTCACTGCTGTCACTGTTGTCACTGCTGTCACTGTTGTCACTGCTGTCACTGTTGTCACTGCCGTCACTGTCGTCACTGCTTTCACTGTTGTCACTGTTGTCAGTGCTGTCACTGCTGTCACTGTTGTCACTGCTGTTACTGTCGTCACTGCTGTCACTGTTGTCACTGCTGTCTCTGCTGTCACTGCTGTCTCTGCTGTCACTGCTATCACTGTTGTCACTGCTGTCACTGTTGTCACTGTTGTCACTGCTGTCACTGTTGTCACTGCTGTCACTGCTGTCACTGTTGTCACTGCTGTCACTGTTGTCACTGTTGTCACTGCTGTCACTGTTGTCACTGTTGTCTTTGCTGTCACTTTTGTCTCTGCTGTCACTGCTATCACTGTTGTCACTGCTGTCACGGTTGTCACTGCTGTTACTGCTGTCACTGTTGTCACTGCTGTCACTGTTGTCATTGCTGCCGCTGCTTTTAGTGTTGTCACTGCTGTCACTGTTGTCACTGTTGTCTTTGCTGTCACTTTTGTCACTGCTGTCACTTGTCACTGCTGTCACTGCTGTCACTGTTGTCACTGCTGTCACTGCTGTCACTGTTGTCACTGTTGTCACTGCTGTCACTGTTGTCACTGCTGTCACTGCTGTCACTGTTGTCACTGCTGTCACTGCTGTCACTGTTGTCACTGCTGTCACTGTTGTCATTGCTGTCACTGCTGTCACTGCTGTTACTGCTGTCACTGTTGTCACTGCTGTCACTGTTGTCATTGCTTCCGCTGCTTTTAGTGTTGTCATTGCTGTCACTGTTGTCACTGTTGTCTTTGCTGTCACTTTTGTCACTGCTGTCACTGCTGTCACTGTTGTCACTGCTGTCACAGTTGTCACTGCTGTCACTGTTGTCACTGCTGTCACTGCTGTCATTGTTGTCACTGCTGTCACCGTTGTCAGTGTTGTCACTGCTGTCACTGTTGTCACTGCTGTCACTGTTGTCACTGCTGTCGCTGCTGTCACTGTTGTCACTGCTGTCACTGTTGTCACTGCTGTTACTGCTGTCACTTTTGTCACTGCTTTTACTGTTGTCACTGCTCTCACTGCTGTCACTGTTGTCACTGCTGCCGCTGCTTTTAGTGTAGTCACTGCTTTCACTGTTGTCACTGTTGTCTTTGCTGTCACTGTTGTCACTGTTGTCTTTGCTGTCACTTTTGTCACTGCTGTCAGTGTTGTCACTGCTATCACTGTTGTCACTGCTGTCACCGTTGTCACTGCTGTCACTGTTGTCACTGCTGTCACTGTTGTCACTGTTGTCACTGCTGTCGCTGTGGCATTGCTGTCACTGTTGTCACTGCTGTCACTTGTGTCACTGTTGTCACTGCTGTCACTGTTGTCACTGCTGTCACTGCTGTCACTGCTGTCACTGTGGTCACTGTTGTCACTGCTGTCACTGCTGTTACTGTTGTCACTGTTGTCACTGCTGTCACTGTTGTCACTGCTGTTACTGCTGTCACTGTTGTCACTGCTGTCACTGTTGTCACTGCTGTCACTGTTGTCACTGCTGTCAGTGATGTCACTGTTGTCGCTGCTGTCACTGTTGTCACTGCTGTCACTCTTGTCACTGCTGTCACTGTTGTCACTGCTGTCAGTGTTGTCACTGTTGTCACTGCTGTCACTGTTGTCACTGTTGTGACTGCTGTCGCTGTTGTCACTGCTGTCACTGTTGTCAATGCTGTCACTGTTGTCACTGTTGGCACTGCTGTCACTGCTGTCACTGCTGTCACTGTTGTCACTGCTGTGACTGTTGTCACTGCTGTCACTGCTGTCACAGTTGTCACTGCTGTCACTGTTGTCACTGTTGTCACTGCTGTCACTGTTGTTACTGTTGTCCCTGCTGTCACTGTTGTCACTGTTGTCGAACGGAGACCACATCATGCGTCAAGTGGTCGCTTACAAGAGGTTTTAATACACGTGCACAAACTGCTCATCAGTCCCTACCTAAAAAATGGGCTTTTTTAAACGCCTTCTAAACACGTTAACTTTCTTTTTGCACCGCCCTCCCATATGCCCCTTATCTCCGTTTTATAGATTTGCATGGTTTCTTCTTACAACGAATGCTGCCTTTGTTAAGAACAAACATTAACCACAATCGACTGCAAAGGACCGCGAACGAATATGCCAAAGAACGTAGGATCTATAAAGACCTGATCAGTAAAAATAATAATGTAGACATATTAAATTCTGTCTCTGTTAAGCCCTTTTGCTTTTTTCTTTGTCTATCTTTGTTTTGTTCCTTTTATATATAAGCGTAATGATAATTTTTGCAATAATAATCTTCTAATGCTGTTTTTTTGCAGTTTCCTTTGCTTTTTTCGTGATTTTTTTTTCCCTTTGTTTTGTATGTTAATGTGTAATAAAGTGCTGTTAAATTTAAAAAAAGAAGAGGTTTTAACCTCTTGTAAAAAGAACAATGGAAACTAAGAAAACCGACAGGTTTAGAAAATAGTGGCTGCGATCGCTCATGATGGTCGTCGTTTTACGAGAGCTTTTGATTATAGGGCTTTGACTGGGAAATTTTTGGTGTTATGGATAAGTGGTCGCTTACGGGCGGGAGTTGCAAATAGAGGCTCGACTGTAGGACAGAATCGATTTTATAGGAACCCCATTTCGAAGTAGACTTAGAAGGAATGTAGATGTTTCAATAATGTATTTTCTTGTCATTCTTTCAGATTTATCCGGAGAGGCAGTTTCTCTACATCTGGACAGTGCCACGAAGGATTTTATTTTAACATTCGATCTCCTTCTTCGTGGTGAAGTGCGTGTTTCGGTTGTCATAGAAACAGACAACTCCGTTCTTTATACGGTACATTATTCCACGAATAACGTGCTTATTTCTGCGACGGAATCGGAGGTATTTTACGGTCTAGGCCGTTGGAAAGGCTGGAAAAGAATTGTGCGCAGTTTGGATACCGATCTAAGAAAAGGGCTGGCGCTCCGTGCGGCTGATAAAAAGAAAACCAGGAAGAGTAAACTGTCATTGACTGAAATACAGAGTATTGCACTGCGTGGCAGAGGAGCCATAGACAATATCTCCTTGGCGCATTCCGCTCATGCGCACTTCTTTCTGGCGGCTGCCAATTGGTTCTTACGTAATCAAAACGAGCAGGGCAATTGGCCAATCACCGTCAAGCGCGTAGTGGAAAGCGTGACGCTTCATCCCAACTGGTACTCCGCAATGGCTCAAGGCCATGGCATGTCGCTTCTTACGAGAGCTTATTTATACACAAAAAACGAAGTCTATTTAAACGCCGCGTTGCGAGCGACATCTTTATTTAAAATCAGGGCCAAAGACAAAGGCCTGTTAGCTACATTCATGAATCAATACCCGTGGTATGAAGAGTATCCAACCTCGCCTTCACTCTTTGTACTCAACGGATTCATTTATTCTCTGCTTGGCCTTTATGATTTGAAGCTCACTGCGAGCCCTCACCATGCCAGGGAAGCAGCGGAGTTGTTTAATCAGGGCATGCGCTCTTTAAAAGTAATGCTGCCGCTTTACGACAGTGGCTCGGGCAGCTTCTATGATTTGCGTCACGTGACCATGCATCTCGAACCAAATTTGGCGCGGTGGGATTATCATACGCTTCACGTGAGCCTGTTGTACTTTCTGGCCAGCATTAACGGCTCAGATCCCATTTTCAAGTCCACAGCAGTCCGGTGGGAAAGTTATGCGAAAGGAAAAAGGGCGAAACACAACTAGAACCGTTATGCATTCTGTTATCGACGCGAAAAGAGTCACTTCAAGCGTTCTCATGCAACTAGCTTGATTAGAGATAAGGTTTACTGAAAGTAACGCTGCCCACAACCTCGCGTTCAGGTTTCCTTCCTACTCGTCCCTACGAAGCGAAAGAGGGAGAGAGATGCCTTAACGGGTGGAAGGAGAGAGCCCTGGGACCGAGGTTGCGATTTTAAGGCTACACGCGCAAGTTGAGTCCTGAGTGAATAATACAGGGGAATTTTATCGTTTTCGACATATTGAATCGCTATAAACTACTTTTTCCCCTATGGCTTTTTCCGGTATCCGACGCTTAACCGATTCAAGTGATAGGCAATCAAACATGTCTCCAGAGTCAATCTGGAAACGTAAGGCTTTTAGAATCACCGACCAATTTCTTTGCGTTCTCACGGCGGTTGTGACGAGGGGTAGTTATTTGTAGATTTAAAATCGTTAGAGAGATGAAAGCTGAAGAGACCAGCTTGACTTCGTTTAGGCCCATCCTTGGTTTTAGAACCTGTAACCTCTAAAATTATAAAAAGACCAGGAAGTCAACACAATAGCTCCTAGGGAAATGAGAGGTTAAAAACAAAGAAAAACTTAACAGCTTCTTACGCCGAGGTAAACCCTGTTTTTAACTGCGAAGAAATGTCTTCTCTCCACTTCCCTATTCTTTTAATCAGGGCTCGAAAAAAACGTGAATTTCAGCGTGCCCTTTGGGCAAGTAACTCTCGCATTTGGCTTGTCTAGGGCCACTTCTTGCTTGTCTAAGTTAATGATTTTGTTAGATGACCCTTGACCCTTGCTGCCTTGAAAGGTACTGTATTTAGTAAAGGCCGCCGCATGTGGAAGCAAAATCACCAATAAACGCCGCGTTAATCAGAAGAATGCGGCGTTTATTCGAAAATTATAAGAAAAACAAACTCGGTGCAACCGGACAATGTACCCCATTCCGGACACTTCCTATTCTATCTTGACGAAAAAGACTTGTATTATAGAACTGTTAACGCCTTTCTGTTTTACGTTATAATTTTTAAATGATTTACCGTAATTGCTGTCAAAGCAAGACCTGTTATTTTGAAATAAACCCCGCCCCCGTTTAGTCTGCTACACAGACGTTCTCTGTGTCGTCACGCAGCGCATTATATCCATTTAATTTTAATAAGGAACTCTTGCGAATGAGAATCGGAGACTTAAACTACTGTTATGTTACCGTCTTGTAATTTTTGGTTTTCTTGTTAATTTCTAGAAAATAATTTATTACATGAAGATGACTATAACATGAAGTTTTAATCTCGTCACGAATAAGTGGCCGTTGAACGTTGTTCTATAAATTTAAGGAATATATTATGACTTTATTGGACCACAGAGGCTTGCTTGAGCTCCCGTTTGGTTGTAAAAAGTGAAAGTAATGCTTCGAGCTTGAATAAAGTGATCTTACATAATCATGCAGTTGAATTGTTTGGTGAATTTATTGTATTTTTCGCCTTTAATAAACCGGCGTCAAGATTCTTCTTTTCAAAGAGTTTACCTTTGTAAATCTACCTTCATTTTTCACAGCGACAGAAAAAAAAAAACATTAACAGACCCTCTATAACTGTTACTTTTCAAGGAAAAATGTTGCCTGTATGTAATTGGCTGTCTGACCATCTCTTGGTTCTTAAAGGAGAAGTGCAAATGGCTCAATTCTTGGTATGTGAGACAGGCACCTTCCCCACCCCCCCCCCCCAGAAAAAGCATGCGAGACAGGCAGCTTCCCAATCCCCTTCCCCCCTCCCCCCCCAAAAAAGCACCAACGGACATGAATTTCAAAGGACTTTATTACAAATCCTCTTTCTCATAAGAACGTTATAAATAGAATATATTTACAAATAACTTTTCCAATGTTGCTTGTTAGGACTAATTAGAAGTAGAAAGAATGACTATTATACGTGCAATAGATATGGAAAATCAGTCTACTAGAATCTTGGCAACTCTACAAACCTTTATGTGAAAAAGTCAATTCTCCTCGATGTTTTCTGCAAGAGGACTTCTCCAAATGGGAGAATCGATAGCGTCGTGGCGAATTATTGGAGTCCATTTTCAGAACAATGAATCTAAGAATTGTTATGTACAACAGAATGAACCGAGAATGGTGCTATATATGTCATCTATTAGCTTACATTCTTTCACAATGGGTGAAACTCTGAATTTTGTCATCTGAAAGAAAATTGCTAGTAGATATCTTGTTGAAAGCCTACAAATTTTAATAGTTTGAACCTTTGAAATCATGCATACCAAAAAGGATCTGTCGGTATAACTTCGGTTATAACAGTAATTATAGGGATCTTTGACTAATGGCAATATTTCGAGATGACTACGTTATAAGAATACGGCATGAAAAACATATACCCAAAATCTACAAAACAGAATGCATTAAATAAAATAGACATTTTAGTGCTGTTGTTAACGCAGGCTTTTCTGTTTTAGTTGTGCTATTAAATTCAAAGTTCGCATAGAAACAACGTACAATCATTTTATCGTCACTGTAAATTTTCGGTTCGTCCTCATAAAAAAATGTCAAATGAAAAATGATCTCTAGCTATATCAATAACCAAAAATACTATCAAAATCACCCATTATTTTCCAAAATTCCCACTTACTTTAATTATATTTTATAACGATTAAATAACTTTATAGTTTATTTTCCCTCTTAATTGGGTCAATACTGAAATAAATCTTAAATATATTCTCAACGTTTTTCGCCATTTCACAAAAACGGCGAAAACCGAGGCACGCAATAAATCGATGCGAACAAAATATGAAAAGTACGAATTTTAAGTTCCTTTTTAATTTATACTTAGAGGATCATTAAGTCTGAAATTTAAACTAAACGTAAAAACGTTAACAGACCTTTGGATTTTAGGACCAGAACGACTACGAGTTCGAGATTTAGTTAAAGGTCTTTCGCGTTTTCTCAAAAAATAGACACCCCGGAAAGCTTCACTTTTCCTTTTTTCACCAGAAATGTAAGAACTGCTGTCTAAGCCCTGTCCCGATCGTAAAATGATATTGTTAATTTGTTTCCGCTGCTACGACATTCTTGCTAACAGTCGTAGCACAGAGGAACCACGATATAACGAAACTTTTTATTACGAAGTCCTCGGTAAAACGAACGATTTTCTTTACCCCAGAAGTAGCACAACATATGAGAAAACCTCGTTATGCGAACAAAATTTTGCGAGTCCCTTGGCACTTCGTTATATCGAGGTTCCACTGTAGAATGACAACGGCCGTCACGTTCTCTGGTTCACGCGCTCAGTAATTAGTGTTAAGAAAATCTCTTACTCGTAGTTGTCCTCGTCTTAGAATTCAAAGCTCTCTGTTTTCTAGAATAGAACAACGAGCTAGTCTATTAATCATCTGATAAGTCTATTGTCACTGGCGGTTTCTTCGACGGTGAAGAGTAAACTCCGCTACTGTCCATGCTCTTTTTGACAACATTGTCAAGCTGGGATGGACTTTGGAGGTTTCTGTGTTCTTTCCTGAACAAGTTCGACATCAAATGATCGTTAAGTTTCTCGCTTTCTAGTCTTTGTTGCGCTCGGTTATGTTGTCTCCAACACCGCATTAACTCTTCGTGGGCTAACATGTGTTGAGGGTAGTATTTGCTTTGTTGACTCATTATGAGCTGCTGTTGTAACTGCCGGTCTAGAGGCGTTGACCCGAGCCCATGAACTGGGAGATGGGCAAGTTCCTCGGGAAAAATCCCCCGCGCGCCGTTACCATGGAGATGTAATAGTTCTGGGTGTTGCCATAGAGATGGATGATTTCTCCATGTGCTGAGTCCGGGATGTTGAAGATACGCTTGGTCGATGGCTGACATGTTAGCAGCAGCCTGTAGGTTTTGAAGGTGTTGCTCAGGGTGAATGTGAAAATGAGTGTGAAGATGAGAATGCGAGTGCTGTTGAGGTCCATAATATTGAAGTCCTGTCACAGGATCAGTAGCTAGAACGCGTCCTGAGCCCCCTTTCAGGAGGGCCTCATGCGCCTGGGCTCTCGAGTCTTCAAGCGCTCGTCCCTGTCCCTGAAGATAAGAAATCGCGGGTATATGATGGCCAGCCGACTGCATTTGAGCCAAGCGGTACGGCGCATACCACTGCTCGAATCCTTCCGCGTATTTCGCTGCATTTTCCCGCGACGATTCCCCACCGGGGATGACTCCTCCCCCAGGGAACATCGAAAATGGAAGCATCCGGTAATCCATCCCGACACTTTGATGCGAAAATGCGGGAATCGGAATTCCTTGGGGTGACAAACCCGGTGGGACATTGGGCGGGTACAAATGGTATTGACCTCCCGCCATCATGTTACGTAATGACTCGTAATGCGATGTAATCGTAGCTGGAGTGTGGGACGGTGATTGACTTGTACTGGAGCGTATTTTAGCATCCGATGACGAAGACTCGTTACCCTACGAAATGAGAAAACAAGCGTCTTTAGTGAATAAGTTGGAGATCATGTTTTGATTTAATTTGACCATTGCCCCAGAGATAAAGATACAAGAGGTTCATATACTGTACAATAAGAAAACCAAGAAAGTTATTGAAAACTATTGTTACTGTTGTTACAGTTACTGAGCAGTACTGTCTTTTTAAAACAATACTGTAAAATCATAGTTTACGCAGCAGTTCTTTGAGTCGTGACACAAAGCAGAGGAGCATTATGTGACAGCACAAAGAATGGCTATGTAGGGAACTACACTTTGCCAGGAGGTTCGAAAAGTTGGGGTTCCACTATCGTCCTGTGGTCAGATTGCTATTGAAGGCTTTAAGCAGCAATATTCGAGAAATGTCTCCTGCCAAACTCCCAAGAAGACATACTTCTAGCTTGTCACGCAGTGACAGGGAAAATTGCGTGACAAGCCATAAGGATATCCACGTTGAAGGCTAGTTTCCTCAAGAAAGTATACTAGTTGTGATTTCTTTCTATAGTTTGAATTACCTACAAGCCCGAATTTACATACCTCAGCCTTTGAGGGTGACTCCTTGGAAACGGACGTTTCCCGAGAACACGTCGGCTCCTTCTTCGGCTTCTCGGGTCGGGGACGAACGAAGATGACATCAGTGCGAACACAGCTTCGGCCCTCTTCGCCACAAATCACACGTTTGAAGTTATCTGGAAGTACCACGGGCCCAGGCGCCTCGAGTCTATTCCCGGCCGGTGAACAGGAGCGGTTACTAGCTGCGTCATCATTATTGTTGCTGCTATTACTACACACACTACTGGCGTCGTGATCAGGAACCACACTGTCCCTTCCCCCGGTGGTGCTACTTGTGTCACTAGCATTATCATTGGCATCCTCGTCAGAATCCTGAGATCGTGTTTTCTTGCGCTTGTCTCCCGTTTGATTCTCCAGCGACTGATCACGTCGGCGTTTCTTTCCTTTCTTCAACTTGCCCTAGTAAAACAAGCCTCGATTAGTATCGAGATTTATGTCTTAATTCAAAAGTACCTACTCTTAAAGTCTCCTCACCCAGCCCTACTTAGGGTAAAATGAACATGACAAGAGTCAAGAGTGGCCTTTGATATTTTTTCCCGCGCTTTAGGTAATTTGCGCGCGCTTTTGCATCTGCGTCCTGACTACTTCTTATTGGCTACGAGGTATGGCTTCGGCAATTTGATTCGTCAACACGCTTTACCCGTGCGTTTGAACTTTCATGTTGTCAACTGAGAATTTTCAGTTTACTCAGGGTAAGCGCAATAAACCTTCACGACATGTTCCGATTGAGATTTAGTTTTGAAGCATTCTAACATGATACCTTTTTCAATTTTTCCTTCCCTTCGCTGCTTCCAGTACTCGAGGAACTCCCACTTGAAGGCGACGGGGCCTTGTTAATCTTCGCCAATCTTCGGTTGCTTCCCGAAGATTCACTCGTCGCGCCTAAAAAGAAATTGCTTTTATTAAAGGTTCAGAAAATTCTGTAAAGCGGGAGAATATTTATTCACCAAAGCCAAATTTACTTCGAAAAAGAACAATTTGTCGACCTTTTTTTTTCATTTTCTAGGTAAACCTAATATGAGTTCGTAATGTTATTACTTGCTTACACTGAAGATCGTTAAACCGTTTACTTTAAGTGCTGTAGTGAAAAACAAAATTTAAGTAAGTCTGCGTTGGAAACAGGCAAAGTGAAATACCTTCCACTGGGCTAGCAGTTTTGTTTCTTCCCGATCGTAACGTAGTTTGGACTGGAGGAATAGCCCTTCGGCTTCGCAAGGCAAGCTTTCCATTCACTAAGTACCCTTCTTCGTCTCTGAGCTGACTCTCAACCACAACCTTAAACATGTAGGGAGGAGGTTCGCGAGACTCGTCTGTCGCCGGCAGTTTGCCATATTTCTTGTAATAAATCCGACAGTCATCGCATAAAATGACTTTGTTTTGGCTTCCGTGATGCCAGCTGCGAGAGTCAGTGGAATAACAATGGCGGCAGCAATACAAACTGATGAAAACGAAACGTTGAAATTAGCGGACCGCTCACAATCGAACGTCGACAATTCTGCGACACGCATAATCACCCTTCTCCCCCCCACCCCCCCACTGCAAAGAAAACATGAAAAAACCAACCTCAAATCTCGTTCGCTATCGTCACTGTCGTAATCATCTTCACTGCAAGAGCTTAGATCAACTGCAAAAAAGAAGCTTGTATAAGTTTATCTACAATCCACGGCGCGCCCGAAGCTAGGAGAGCATTTTGCAGGTCTACAGTGGTCTTAACGCAAACTGACGACAAAAAAAATCCACAGTTCGTTGGTAGCTCTGTGAAAGCAGAATTAAAGGCGATGTTTCACAGGACGATTTTTTGTATTTTTCGTGAAAATGTGACCCCATCCAGCGGCACATCCCCATTAGCCTCTTATAAGAAAGTACCCCGCCCCTCGGAATTTTTGCGAAGACAAGTTTCAGTTTTGAAAAAAAAAACCGATATAGCCCGTTTAGGGAATAAAGATGAACTGACGCAAAACCTCATCTTCGTCTCACAATGAATCCACCCGCTTCGAAAGGAAACAATTAACACAAAAAACAGGAACTATAATTTGTATCTTCCTGTGACACTTATTCATGGTTTCTGCAGGTGGTCCGAGCAAACAAAGAAAAGATAGATTAATATTCCCACTTACCGAACTCACTAACAATGTTCTTGGATGACCTGGGGAGTGCCTTGCGTCGCAGAACATTGTGTCTACGGCGTCTGTGTGGTCGAGAACTTAGAGCCGTGGGCGTCTTTTTCCAGACGTAGTAATATTCTACTAGCTCTCCCTATAAACAGGAAAGCAAATTCAAAAAAAAATTATCATGTGAAAGCTAACTTAAACAAAAAACAAAACATCCATGACGTCGCTCTATTAGGTCTAAGCAGAACTAAGCACTTCAATCTATGCTTCAACAGAAAAGGAAAATGTTAAAAGTTGTATTTTTACCGTTTCTTTGTGAGGAAGAAGTTCCTTCTTTATTTTGTAAAAATTCTTTCCATACTGTCTAAGTCCCTTGACAAATTTTTTCTAAAGGACAAAAAATAGAAAGAATTATTATTATTAAGAGGCAACCCTGTCATAGTAAATGCTACACAAGAATACTACAGCAAACACGAGTGAGCTAATCTAAATTAAACTCTTTGAATCTCTTAACCCAATTCTATTCTTGGGCTAAATCACACAGAAAAGAGCAGGCCCCAGTTGTTCAAAAGGTGAATAGTACTATCCACGGGATAAATCATTATCCATCGGATAATGCTATTGGCTTTCCTAATACTTGCTCACTGGAGAGCAATTTATCTGGCGGATAACACTATCCTTCTTTTGAACAACCGGGGCCAGAAGAGTTGGAGCCACACCCATATCTACATCCTAAACGTATTCCTTGTGTAAATCTTTCTGTCTGTAGCCCTGCTATACCAACAAAAAATATTGGATGAGGAGTCAAGGGGCTAATACCACTCACCTCGACCTTGATTATTGCAGTTATCATAAAACCCAAATAGAACAATAAACTGTTTTAAAGGCAACAAACAAACACGTTGTTGCTCTACGAAATTAAGCATTGTGCACATAACCTACAGATTAGTCAGTTATCTGCTGACAGATTCATCTAACTGACTAATCTGTAGGTTGCACTGATTTTCAAAATTAACTGTAGGCTCTTAGCCAATGAGTACAATCTACAACAAGAACAAAAATAGGACAGACTGTTCACATTACCATTTCATCGTCAGACCATTTCTTGTCAAGTTCTTTAGGATAGGGTTTCTTAACCAGAGCTTGCAGAGCCTTGGCTGCATCATAATTGTTCTGATGAAGCTGAGAAGAAAAAGAATACAAAAATTATCAGAAGCTCTTTTCATGGCCATCTCTCTTGACTAAAAAACCCTTTCATGTCTGACCATTTTAAACTAGAAGGCCCATGGTCATGTTTTCTAATCACCTCTAAAGCACTAAGATCTAACCACATAAGTGTTTTTCCCCTTTCTGGCAGGGATAAGTTTTTACTTACCACATATATCGCATTACTTGTGGTTGCATCTTGGGAAACTGCTCTGTAGCCATCTTCTGGCGATCCACCATTACACATGCCAGCATACTGTGCCATGCTCCTACAAACGGACAAATTCATAAAACTATTAAATTCTATATTGTTTTTATATAACAGACATGAAGCTTAAAACAAGAGAAAAAACAAAAACATATATAATATTATTTAACTCACCTAGCTGCACGCAAGTACATCATCAGCTCATAGTCTTCTAAGCATGGATTCCAAACCTGACAAAATAAATAATAATAATAACAAATAAGTTAAATAATCGATAGTTTCATAATAATAATAATAAGGAAGAAAAACAGAACAACAACATGTCCAGACAAGAGATGTAAAAGATGGAGAGTCTCTTTTTCACTATACCCCCACCCCCCTGAATTTCAACAAACCTTCCCCTCCAAAGGAAATGGCTTAGGACAATTAGGGGACCATGAGTTTACTCCCTAAACCCTGAGTGTTGGAAGGTCTGCCTAAGCTTTCTTACCAGTTCTTCTTTAGGCTCTTCCATTTCTTCTGCTGCTCCATTTATAGGATATGGACAACATTCTGGTAGTGAAGCCTGCAAAATGATGAAACAATTTTAGTGAAACGTTAACCCTTTTTCTGCCAGAGTGAATGATGAGTCTTTTAAAATGGTTTTAACTTTTGAGTCTGTGGAAGACATCCTATGGTATGACAATTCAAAACAGTTTAAAAGATATAAAAGGTAAGGTAAAGGCGCACATGAGCCAAACGCCCGAACGGCGGGAGATTATCCTGGTTTCATTAGCACGAAGCACCTAGGAGTTTTGCTACTCCCCCCTGGATGGGATGCTAGTCCATTGCAGGGTTACCTCCCAGCATTATGTCACCCGTACCCATTTATAAATACACCTGAGTGAAGAGAGACAAAGTGGAGTAAAGTTCCTTGTCTAAGGAAACAATGCGAGGGGCGAGGCTTCAACCTTACACCTCCAGATCCTGAGTTCAAGGTGTTAACCACGTGGCCACACATGCCTCCACTTAGGAAATGATTTTAAAAAAGAAGCTTGTTTTGAATCAATTACCTGATGGCTTACTCCAACTCTTATTTCTCCCTTGGTATTTGCCAAGCGTCTGAAAAAAAATTAATCAGCAAAAATTGAAGCAATCACCAACAGGTCATGATGATGATGTTTAGCACTGACCAAACAGATCACAGCTCTGGGGATGGGAATGCAGCTTATGGATGTGAATAAGATTCTAAGTGGAGTCAAAACATTTACGTGAAGCCACTGTTATACAGCAGTTTACTGTGTTGTACAAAGTCATTCTAGCTTTTGAGTCTTTGCACAAAAACTTGCTCAAGTGTGACCAATGAAATAAAGAAACTCTCTATCGGTACCTACAAACGCTCATTTTATTGTGCGTTTTCTGTCAAATCATCCATTTTTCAGGCAAAATCATCACATATCAAGAACTGTTTTGCACGGTAATGCTACTAGTGAGCTAAGCGCAACCACAACAGTGATGAAACAAGAAAGTTAAAAAAGCAATAGGTTTAGTAAGCAAAACAAAAACTCTGAATGTGAAGATTTCTATGCTGTCATTGCACAACTGACGTTGTCAAACTTGATTGGAATGGCAATTTGATCAATGATCACTGCATTAATAGCAATCGTTGCAACTTCAACTTCATCAGAAATATCCATACAAAGGCTCTAAAGAATGCTGAGCAATACTTTCCAACGGTTATAATACTTAAAATAAGGTGTAAGCTGCACAGTAAATGGAATGCTAAAGCATGACCATTCATATTAATTCCACTATAAAAAGTCATATTTTAGCATGTTACTTCAAACTGAGCAAGCATCTATTTTCACCAACACAATACCTTGTCTCTGGATTGTAACCAAGTACATAAAAGAATGCGTCATCTTTCTGTATGTATCCCTTCACTGAGTCAATTTCAACAAATGGCTTCACTTTGCACTTTCCCCTAAAGCGCAAAGAAGCCTAAATTCAATTTACATTACCGGTATATCTAACTTTTAGGTCACTATTAAACAATAATTTGGCAACATCAGAGAAAAATCTTTATACATTACAGTTAAAATCCTGTCTCATTTTAAAAAACTATTCAACCTTAGTTACCAGGGTTGATCGCCTCAGAAAACTAAACTTATCCTGAGAGGTTGAATAGTGGCCTAACCTGAGAATAATTGAGCCTAGTTGTACATTGTACAAAGTATACACCAATAGGGTCTAGTATCACAACTAACTTTATTCCACATGCAAGCATTCAAGACCTAAGAAAACTCAAGCCCACACTGAATTTACAAAGACTTCATGTACAGTGTTATGTAAACTTTTGCAGATTTTTCATTCATTTTATTTTGAAGATTTTATTTCTGGAGGGAAAATCTTTTTCCACATATAGAATTGTTTGGCCTAGACATACAAATAATACAATGAAGAAAAAATTTTGTCTTTTTTGAATGCTACAATCAAAGATCTGCTTCTCTGCCTAGCAACTCAGCCAATCTAGAAAAACTTCTTTTCTTTAAAAATATACAATAAAAGTAATACCTTCTTTGTTTTAGGGTAAAAAATAAAGACAGGGAGACAATGCCAATAAATTTATTCGATGAGTATAAAGCAATGCTGAGCTACACATCTATGTGTAACGCTGTGCCATAGTAAAATCTGAGGAGGGCCGAAAAACCCTAAATTCATTGAAGATCTCATACGTTGATCGTCTTGTTGCCCAAATTGATAGTCAGTAGTACATTGCTAGGGACAACCAGATGCTTGTTGACAGGACTGTCAAAAATAGCTGGCAACATGTGAAAATCACCACCATTACACATATTTTTTTAATGGCTACATTGCTGGGTAGCTTATCTGACACTTGAGTAAAAGATGTCAAAATCAGCCATCTACTTCATCAATAAAGCTGTCCACAAAACAACTTTCAGCCAATCCATCTGGTTAAGCAGAGCCCTGGCATGTAAAATGATTGTTTTTTTGTTACTAATCACCTTAAGGCGGAGGCTGGATACACATCTGTTGCATCAGAAATAAACAATTCCCGCTCCTTTACTGCGACATCCTCCAAAATGTGATCACCAGATCCTAAAAGAAAACAGATCAACTTTTCAGCTGTTTTTGTTTCTATGGTAGCACAAAGCAAAAGCTACAATGTTATTTCGTCACATTTCACAAATCAATAAGCCAACAACTGCTAACAACTAACAACTGTTGATGTACGCATCCAAATTTTTGCTTAATCAAACTTTTGATTTGAAATAATATTACGTTTTGGTGCCAAAAGTACTGAAAACTGAGAATTTCTCATCTACGCCCTCTCCCATAATTTTTTTTTCACGACAGATGGATTAAGAAATATACTTCTTGACACTTTTTTGACAATAACAGAATGACAAATGAGACATAGTGCGTATTTACAATGGAATCCTGATTTTATGAACCACCAAGGGATAATGGAAAATGTTTGAAAAATTAGACGTTTCCGGGACTGACATTAAGGTTTTCGTAGCTGGTCTCTCTGGGAGAGGAGCCAGTTATTTATGCCACAAATTCTTCTGTGTTTGTAATGTTTGATTTATTAAGAAAATAAATGTAACCAGCTGATTTTACTGCAGTAGCCTGCTAAAAAAGCCAGCTACTGGCTGCTAATGACAGCCCTACATTTCAGACATAGAAATATGGAAATTGGTTGAAAATTTGGGTTGTATAAACATGGAGGTCAAGTTTCAGTGTCTGCCTGTAGGAAACGGATACAAACGTTATTGGGATATTTCCGCTGTTTAAAATATAAGGCAACACACCATTTTCTGCATTCCTGTCTTGAACAAGCAGTTGATAAACTGACTCAGGAACTTCTGATGGACGGTAATACCATCTCACAACCACTACCAGTGAGTCGCGTTTACTCTGCAAGCAAACACACAAAACTTGAATTAAAAAAGGGTATCAAAACATAGGCAATATCCAACAAAAATATCCTTTAAATTCGGCGAGAATCAATAATCAGAAATGTTTGAAGATTAATGTGAAAGTGATGCCATTCTTGTAGCTATGTAATAACCATAAACCCATCTTAAAAGGGATAATATATTAATCATACATACTAAAGTACAACATCAAATTTTAACAGGAGAATTTCTTGTTAATGCTGTTTAAAAACATAATTTTGTATCATTTAACTGTGCACATAACATTACAAAGAAAAATATGTACCTGTATGTTCTATATATATTTTAAAATATAAAAGACTTACAAAAAAGTATTTAAAAAAGCAGAAAACATGACAAGGTATAAATAAATAGTATTAGATTTTTTTCATACTTTGTTTTTCCAAAAAGCCTTACTTGTAAATCCTAAATTGTGTACATCATTTCCTTGAACATTTTATTCTCTGTACCAGATATTTACATATTAAGGAAAGTTACGTGTTTCCATAGATCAAAGTTTATTGACAAGTATGTTTATGTTTCTGTGTGATAAGAGAGCTCACAGCAAGATGAGGAGATTTGCTAACTAAATTAAAAAATTGGAATTTCTTCATTTTAATTTAAAATCAGCTTATTTTTGAGTTACAAAGCCACAAACTTTATTTCTTTTCTTACATAAACGTTTTGGAACATAAATTACGTTAATAAAATCAAAATAAAGTGACAACTGTGGGCTTTTAAAAATAAATAGAAAACTAAGTTTTAAAAGCGTGTCCTTGTAACATGACAAATGCCAAGCAAAATATATTTTTTCATGATGGATAAGACCTTTGTGATAACACATTTCTTTAAATCAAGTTTGTTTCGTGGAAAATAATTGAAATTCATAAGCTCGAATACCTTGAATGTTAGGTTTTATGATCGTATTCATAACAACTTAACTGTAAAATATTAAGAGGAAAGACTGTAAATTTCACTGTACACAAAAAGAAAAAACATCTCCTTTCGATCAATGACAAAAAAACAAGAAGAAATCGAAACATTTTACCAACGATAATTTTTATCTCGTCTGGGAGTGTCAAAATATAACAAAATATAGGTATTTAAGCCAGAGAACAAATAAAAAATAAGCCACCCGAAAACTGTATGCACAGGCAAAACAAAACATGGCAAAAGAAAAAGCTAACGATAATATCAAATTTCTTCAATAGACGTACCATGCGAAATTCCTTGATAGCGCAAATAAAGAAGGGAACATCAGGTCTTTGGCTATCAATATACACGCAATCTGTCAAAGGAAAGCAGATTAATTGGATTATTTTAAGGCGTATGGCACATGAAATACACTACTCGTCAAGTTAAGATACCCACGTCGTGTATTTGTTTTGATGTTGCGTTCTGTTTGCTCCGCGGCGTTTTGCAAGCATTACGCCAAAAATACCGCAAATTGAGCGGAAGAATTTTCAATCTTTTTACTTCGCTTGTTGGTAATAATTTGGGCATCCCTCAGGGAAAATAGAACTTTATTTTGTGTAAAATATTCGTTTGAATAATGACTTTAACGACATAAAGTAAACATGTGAAATGCAAATTTACAATTTACACGAACCAGAGACCACATTGTTTAGCTGAAAGAACATTGTTCGCGTCAGACCACAGAATCGATATAACTTTAATATGAACAAAAAACAAATTCGAGACAGACGATCACGCATTTTCCTCGCGTTTCAGTTTCTAAAAGTTCAAGCGTTCGAAATTCTTTGCGCCAAAATATTAACTATTCGATTTCAGAGTTCAAAGCATTCGTTTTTCTTTCGTTTCGTGTGTTATATTAATTACAGGTAATTATTCTAATAGCACAAACAATCTATATCGTCTTGAAAACGAACGGTATTTGACATTTCAAAGAGTCTATGAACAGTTTCACCTACCGCCGGGTTCGTAGTAAATATCTTCTTCGGAAGTATATGTCAGCTTTGTTGAGTCGGTTCCATCAGGTTTTTTCTCGACGTTTGCCGATTTCCCACCGCTCTGTTTTCTTCCTTTGAACTCTGTACGCTTTTCGTCTTGAGACAGTGCACGGCCAGAACTTGTCACGCTTTTGCACTCCGAAGAACTTTCACCCTTCCCACCCATAGCCATTTGTCACCGGTATTTTTAAAAGTGCTTGTCTGGTGATGAAGATCTTGGTTCACCGGGACGACCGCTGAATAAACTGTCTTGCTTTCCGTGGCGAGTACCAATACAATCTGTGTTCCCCCTGGCCGAGTTGATCTGTAACAAAACGAATGTCTACACGCTAAGAAGAAGACTAGGAAGATTGCACTTCAACAACTCGCCTCCCCTCTGCTGCTGAGCGCTTTACGCATCTTTCAACACCTCTCTCATAACACCTTTTAATGTAATTCGTAATTTATTCAGACAATTAACCTTCACAATAGACACGCTCGCGCGACAGGAAATTTTAAATCTGCCAATACGCAAATCTATTTACCTGCAAAACTGTTAATACTAAGGATCCACAGTCAAGTCAACTCCATAAACTCTGACACTCTCCAAAAGATCGCTTTCGTCACTGAGATTTTAGGAATCACCAACGTTGAGTACTTGCGGTTTCCGCTTGAATAAATTCTGTGTATTATCTGAATGACACCAAAGAAACCACATTAGAAACCAATTGACGGTTCCACCATTTTCAGTTGCGGACTGCACTGAAGCGAGAATCGAAAATAAAACATTTTAAACTTTACCAATCAGACAAATCTCTACACGAACGATAACAGGCAACATGGATCCTTGGTATCGTGAAGAGGCGACGACTCTTGTGACACATTCTAAAATCTATTGTTTAAAGATGATTATAAAGACAACGATCTACAGAGCATTCACCGCCTCAAACTGAACAATTTTCCACCCGAAATGGCCTGCTAAACAAGCTACACAGCTTGTACCACAAAACGCCTTTTCAAAATACAAGCTTTGCCTTTTTCTACTTTCGCTGTTGTAGGTAACTTATTTCTTTTCAAAACAGCAAAGTAAACATACTAACCAAGCGATTTATATTTTCCCTTGTTTCGTGTTTGAAAAACTCTACAAAAACATGAACAAACAAGCGACCTAATCCTCCCACAGAAACTTACTGTTAACGGTGCCCCGGAACGAAAGCTTTCTAAATTCAGGGAGAAAATTCGCATATAATGACGCTGTTCTGTTTTCACATGTGTTGTAAATATAATATATTATTAACATGAGAGATGTGGACGATTATTGTCTCAAGAACGATTACACTTCAACCGTTGAAACGTCCTTGTCGAGATGAAAATCTTGTCTACGCCAGAGTGAGCACGCGGCAAAAGCGAGAAACTTAGAGAAACACGTCTGGCCAAGAAAATGGGACTAAACTAAGACAAAGCAGCTTACCTCTACAACAAGACGACCATTTAACCATTTAATTTGAGATGAACGGATATTTGCAGAGTCAAATCAGGCGATTTCAGAGCGACATGCACGCGTTTACAAATAGAACGGACCACTTTTGACGAGAAGGAAAAAATCCCGTACAATCAACGCTAAATCATCGTCGGCTGGCCAACAAGTGTTTAGCCCCGGTCGAGAAAATGCTCTTTCCGTCAGCTCAATGCATAAACCGCACTATTTGCTTGTTTAGATGAGCAAGGGAGACAAGAGAAAATTGAACAAACCCAGAACAGATGCCTGCTTTGTGAAACGTGATTGGCGAAATCAGCATGAGGCGTAGTTAGGCGTTATCTGATTGGACGAAAGGTTCTTAAATGTGTGAAGCATGTCAATTTCACCTGCGAGCCTATTTTGATTGAAAAGTTAAGTACATGTCACGGTCATTTCAACTACTTACATTTCTAATCCTCCTCAAACACGAATCAACCCTTCCGAGGGCATCACGGTGAAAAGGGACGCGGATTTTAAATCAAATCGTTTCTCAGGGATTCAATATTGGACTGGAAGGATGTTTCATTAAATTCAGCAATACTCGCTTCCGACTGAAATATATTTGAATACCTTGGGATAAATAATGGCATTGATGACAGCGATCTCAAACTCATTTTGTAAACACTTTAGGCTCACGTCAATCACGCATTCTCCCAGCTTATCACCCCTCTCGAAAGTAAATTTACAATTTACTCCTCGTTCGCGCTATCCCCAAAAATTCTCCTGGACGCGAAAAAGTAATTTAACAAATTTGCAGCTTTTCAAATCTTACACAGTCTATGGGAAGTCACAACAAAATCCAGAGGCATGGCAAAGTTCAAAGACGTCATTATCGCTCATCTTGTTATTGATATATAAAATCAAAAATACAAGAACCACAGCATCCGGATCACAACAACAGCTTCAGGCAATCGAAGAAAATCAAGAAGGCACAAAAAATTACACACGACACCTACTTTAAACTAAATTCATCTGCGAGCGTGTCAAAAACCTCGACTCTCGCATTTGTGGTTTGCTAAGTCTCAGTTCCTGTCGCTACGGATCACGCTCATTGAGCCAACGCCACGGGGAACTTTAAGTTCAGGAGCAATATATTTACTTCTTGCAATGTGCCCAAGTATATATATATCAGAAATGTATAGAAGTGATTAATTTTTCCATATATATCTGCTTCTAAGGGCCTGTTTTTCTTTTAAATATTTTTTCTGATACCATTTATAACGAAAGATTACAAAAGTAAATCACAACTTGTGATATTTGTGACATCGCGAAAATCTTCTTCAAAAACAGCGCAAAGGTTATACAGACATGTTTTTTTAAATGCAACATATTAAAAATGGGTTTGTTGTCTGTACTTTAAGTACGTTGTAGATTGCAACAATGCACTATGCAATCGGCTTGGTAATAACCACTTTCTAAGTTATTCTTTTAGTTTGAGATTTGCTGATTATTTCAAATAATCACGAAAAGCAATGAGAAAAGCGCTGAATATCGGAAACATGTTTGCTTGCTTTCAGATCAATATTACCCGATACCCATATTAGATTGTCGTGACATTGGATTTAAAGGGAATATGTACTTAAAAGAGACGCAAATAAGAATAATTAAAATGGGAGACCAACAGTTAATTTCCTTTCAGGGGCATTTTGTTAAAGATTAAAACTATTTCTTATAAAACTTCGCCAGATGAAGTCTAGAAATTTGCATCTGACAGCCTGTTTTAAACACCGAGCCAGTTCAGATACGGGTCCGGTTCGTGAAATTAACATGAAATGGACACGAAGCGACTCAAAAACAGAAAAACGTTGGACAATCAACTGGATTTACTTTAAAACATTTTCCAATTTATTTTTTTTCAACTAAACTGGAAGAGATTGCTTATTCCCTTCCTTTTCTACTTGATATAAACCGCCAATACTATTTACGTAAGGAAAAGTCCCATATCTTGTGATATCAGCCACTTCTCTTTCGACTCAGTGATCTGCTGATGTTTGCGGTAACTGACCAAACGTGTCACCTTTGTTCGGCAGATATTTTAACTGGTCTCAACTTCTTGATGGGGCCTTGTTGAAAGAAAAACAAAACAAAGCCAAACAGTCCCCATTTCTTCGTCGCAGCAAAGTCAGTTTTTTACGCTTCATGCCCGCGACAATAATGAAACCAACGCTTGAAGTCAATGTGATCGATCGATAGTTGTAATGCTCTAATCAAATAGTTTAGTTTATAAATGCCTTGTGACGCGCCATCCGCAATATCCGATTAAACGATAACTACAAATTTGCCTTCCTATTTAAGGAATACGTACTTTGATCCCATTTTAAATTCTCCAGGTAGAAGGCCAAGAGAGAAACTTCGTTGCTGTATAGCTTTTTCGGCATGGGTTTGTGGGTCTAAATGTAATTATTACTAATTACAAAATCATTTAGGAAACATAAACGCAACAAAATAGGTGCATGAATACATTACAAACATACCGGCTTAATTCCACTAATTAAACATTCATCAAGCTCTGTGAATCCATGGTAAATTTGGCGAGGTCGAAATGAGCGTTAACAAAAAGATTTCAAAATGTGAACTAAAAACAAGTTCATTCTTTCTGTGGAAACTTTCACTTTTGATACGCGATCTACAGTTAATGCCTTATAACATGCAACATATGTATCTCTCGAAACTGTATAGTTCCGTTTTAATAACCTTCGATGGCCCTTGTTCGTTCACACGTACCAGAGACTCTGAAAATCTCCGCAAGCTTTCAAAACCGAAAGCATTTCAGTGTCTGAAATGTAGAGGTTCTTTACCGAAAAAAGCGAAAGCTATAAAGGCTGACAATTGCTGAGGGCGAGAACGAGTGACAAAGATCCGACCATCGAGGCATCGATCGACGGCGCCGGCCGTATCACGAACTGTTTGTGCCGTTCATTCACCACTGCTCCAGTTCACCAAATCCTCAAAAAACCAGGCTCAACTCTAAAGTCAAAAGTACACAAAATGAAATTATCGCTAATCTCACCTTGGCTAAAACAGTAAGAAACTTGAAACAAGCTTTGTTGAGACAAAGATCGCTTGGTGTTTATCACTTCAAATCTGGAACAGAAATTCTCGATATCACACGTTTGCTCCACTTAAATTGTCCCCTTGGGAGATCTTATTCATCGTAGATAATCAGGCAACCGGAAGTGGTCAAACCACAGACATATCGCCATCGCTACGGCACCGAATCCAGTCGTTTTATGCTATTTTCGAGTTAATTCTCTCGGTTTCCTTTAGGAAAATGAAAACTACAGCGATTTTGCTTTCGATTTGCTAACTTAAAGATGCGAATTTTAAAACAAATTGGAAAAGTTATCGACTAACTCGCACGCGGTACACATAAAACAATAAACAATAACATTGACATCACAAAGGGGACACATTGTAGATTTCAAGTTGCACTAAAGTTTACTTAGCAGGCGACTGCCTTAAAATGAACTACATAAGAAAAAAACCCGTGATCTCAGAACATTTGAAGTTCTCGGTGCACACTTTGTTTTGGATTTTTTTTTCTATTTTGATCAGTAAAAACGTCTGGAAAGGACATTCGTAGCAGCTGTGGAAAAGCGTTTATCTTGCTTTGTTTTAAGACAGCTGCTTTGATGTTGGTTGGAATTGCTGATCAGAACGATTTGTGAAAGCAAATGAAATTCATCAGTGTAAATTTACGCCATGGAAATTAAGTATTCGAAACACACTCGTTGTTAGGATTCAATGATCGCTATATAAAAAATGGTAATATTTTCGACATTTTTTCTTCCCTCTCAAACTGTCAAGAAAACTTGTTTGATATCCTTTAAGTTTCAAATCGTTTACTGTTTAAATTTGTTTGTTTTTTAAGAAGACATCATTTGAATTTACGCAGTAAAGAGTTTCAGGTGAAAATTTATTTACCATCAGTTTTAAATATAAAACTTCGGTCGGAAGGTGAAAAAAAACCCAAGTTTAAGGGAAATTTGGACAAGTAGTTCTGTTCAGAGGCGCTCTATCGATGCTCGCACACGCGTTAAATTAACCATTGTTCTGAAAACAAATGTTTTCTAAATCCATTGTCTAAACAATGTACACAAGCTTTTCTAAAAACAGGACCAAAAGGAATGGAGAGTTTATATGCTTGTTTATATAGACAGAGAAGCCTGTATTGCGCGAACCCAGGGCCAGGCGGATAAAAGCAGAAACGAGAGTTAGGTAAAAAAAATCAAAAATTTTCCTTTCCAAATTACATTTTCTTTTCTTTACACAAGCGCAGCTAGTGGATGTGCTCTGAATACATGATTCCGGAATTTTTGTTTGTAGGTTAAGGAATTTTGCAGTACAATAGGAAACCGCATCTTGAACGGTGACCCTTCTGCTATCTGCGCGCGTGACAGGCGTTTGAAAGGGGAAGGGATTATGGACGCGCGAGAAGCGCGAAAGGCCCCTCCTCCCTTTTCCCTCGCGCGCGGTCTCACTCCCAAATATCCTTTCCACTCTGCCGCGCGCGCAGGCCATTCATCTGCTTGCTTGACGTGCAGCAATGAGTTATACTCTCCGCTACGCCCCTTACCCTGCAGGGGGGGGGGGCAAAAACTTCCAGTTTCGGGGTTTCGGCTAAGTCTCTGACAAAAATGCCAAAAATAATCAAATAGGAATATAAATCCGCGCCATCCACCACCAGAACTGAATATTAAGATGACTCATCGTAATTCAACTTTTCACAATGGCACCCGCACCAATCTGGCCTGGGTCATTTCTTTCGACATCTTGGCCCTTTTTTTTTTTTTTTTTTTTTTTTCGAGCCTTGAAGTGTCCTTTTCCCTCAGTGCTTTGCCTTTGAACAATGAAGAATTAGTGGAGCGTGAAAATTATTTAGAACGACGACGTCATCATGTGCAGGAACCGATTACCCCGTCTTAGTCTTGTCCTCCTGTTACGTGTCCTTCACTTTTTTCAGCTTTTCCTAAAAGTCCGTGTCTGTCACGCCGGCTATAAGTCTTACTGAAATTAGACAGACGCTCATCAAATGGTAAAAAAAGGGTAAACGATAAACGATAACCAACCAGGAAAAATTGAAGAAAGTCTTTTTATAATTAAGGTCAAAGCCACGCCTATCCCTAACTACTATGGGTTTCTTATCTACGTTCAGACAAGGTTAAGTTTTTATAGAGGCCAAAGATAATATTTACAAAAAAAAAAATCAAATTCCTAAAAAATAAAGAGCTACGGAAAAGTTCTGCCTAAAAGGTTTTGAATGGTAGAACCACAGAATTTCGTCCACAGATTGGAATTTAGAGTGACAAATATCAAATCTTGACGTGACTTGGTCTTTGTTAGAATAGCCCGCGTAGCAGGCGCTAGGAAATAAATGAGCGCAAGAAAGAACGTGCGCCCATTTATTTCATAGCGCCTGCTACGCAGGCTATGTTAGAAAGGATCAAGAAATCCGAGAAAGAAAAACTAAATAATCTGATCTAAAATGTTTGATAAGCACTATGACAGGGTAGTGATCGACAATCCGCCTACTGTAGGTGAGGAAT